ATAAATGAGTTAATCAGATAAGTAATCTTTTTTAAAATTAACTCAGGTTAGATTTAGTCCACATAACTGCCATCTGATCTGTGGTGCAGGTCACATAAATGTTCATGCTGATACAAGGAGACACAAAAAAAAAAAAGAGAGCAGGATCATTTTTAATTGTAGCAATAGTATAGGAGCACAATTACATAATGTTAGAGTGAATTTTAAAACACTAAAAATCTGTTTCAGTAGGAAAAAAATTACTTCTTCTTACATAACTAATAACTAATAAGGAAATTGTATGCTCTGCCCAATATTGAAAGACCTTTTCTCCTCCAAATTGCTTCACGAAGCAGAAGTACTGGCGTGCTAAACTCCTTTCTGGGGCTCTGAGCAAGCCAGACCAGAATTGCAGTATTAAAATTAAATTAGCCATATTTCTGAGCTGCCACTTCTGACCAAAGTCTCCATTGATATTGGTTGTATCATTTGAAGCATTATACAAGGATGTTCTGGCTGTTACCTTCTAGATATGTGTGTATTTGCATAGGAACTATCCTAATGAAATTAAATGAAGGCAAGACTTGTTTATAAAGTGGTCTTACTGAGGTCTACTGGATGGTGGTTTTTGTGTGGAGACTTAAGAATAAGTGCTTTCTACATAATGGAAAGAAAATAGACTTAATAGTTTTCAAAACCCAGTATTAATACTAGAAGCACTTTCTTTAAAAATAAAAATTAGTTTACATTACTACTTACTTAGAAATTTCAAAAATTATCTTCTGTTGTAGAGTGCAGAAATCCCTGAAACTGTTCTTCCTGCACAGTAGCCTCTGAAGTGTACATATATATTTTAAATAATCCTCTTGATTATTCAAGTCTTATTCACAGTATGTTTCCAAGTGTGCCTAAGGAACATTTAACAGGGATTATATACTGTATTAGTGTTGAACATGTAAGCTGTATTCTAATAAACTATTCTTAAGGGAATTTTGTGTGTTAGTGTTGCTTTTCTCTGTGTTTTCAAAAGTTGTATCTTAAATACAGGATTTCCTTTCACATAATAGTGGGTATAAAATAACTTTTTCTGTTTGCTTCTGGAAATGGACTGTGTGTCTCTTTCCCAAGGTGAAAGTTGATATGCCTTAATTTTCTGAGAGTACTGTTAGTGTGACAGTGTACTCCTGCAGGTTTCCTGCTATGAAAAATTTATTTGCAAGAGAATATTTAAAGTCTGAAATGCTTCCATGGTTCTTTTTACTCCTACATTTCTCTTCCGAGCCTTACAGCCCTGTTGCTGGGATAACCCGAGTGCAAGACCTAAATGGACATCAGGGTAATCCCGCAGAGCTAGGTTTGTAGATTTGTATCCAGAAGTATCTATTCACAATTACTCTGTGAACCCCAAGATACTTCTGTCCCCAGGGTTCACAGAACCACAGAATGACTAGGTTGGAAGGGACCTTCAAGATTATAAAGTCCAACCCATGCCCCAACACCTCAACTAAACCACGGCACCCAGTGCCACATCCAGTCTTTTTTAGATACATCCAGGGATGGTGACTCCACCACCTCCCCAGACAGACCATTCCAGTACTTTATCACTCTTTCTGTTGGATTTTCCTAATATCCAACCTGGATTTCCCTTGGTGCAGCTTGAGACTGGGACCTCTTATTCTGTCCATTGCTGCCTGGAGAGAGAGACCAACCCCACCTGGCTGGAGCCACCTTTCAGGAAGCCGTAGAGAGTGATATGGCCACCCCTGAGTCTCCTTTTCTCCAGGCTGAACACCCCCAGCTCCCTCAGTGGTTCCTCACAGGGTTTGTGTCCCAAGCCCCTCATCAGCAAGTAATTAATTTGTTGGTGAGTTGATTTGAACTTTAAAGCAATAGATGGTCTGTGGATGTGTTAAAAGTGCAACTCGAAAGAGAAAGTGCAAGCTTCCCTATAATACAGTGCAAATTGGCTCCCAGAGTGACTGAATTCTGCTAATTGCTGATCTGGGATAGATGTTCTTTGATTGGCAGAGGCTTGTTAGAGATACCCAGTGTTTGTACAACACATATGTGGCCGTAGATAAGGACTCAAATGGCTCAGTGGAGCAATAACTTCAATAACTTTGCTTCATTCCTTAGTCTCCTGTTCTGAGCAACCAAGTTTATATGTTCTTTGCCAATAGAGCAAGCCACAAAGAGGATTGAGGTTTTCATCTGCCTCCCAAGATTGCTGAGGGTACCAGGTTTAATTCCTTCTTTGATATGTCACAAAATGTCACAAGTGATTTGTTTTCATTAGCTGGGGTTGTGTTGTTGAGTTTTTGCCTCAGTGCAGCAAAGTGTTTAAATAGATGCTGAACTCGATACACAGTGGCATTTTGAAGCATTTTAATACTTGCTGAATTAAGATACTTTCAGCTCAGAGGCTCTTAGGATTTTTAAAGCAAAAAGCATTTGATGAAGAGAATATGCTTACAATAGGGGGGAATATCTATTGATTGGCAACACAAAGCTATCTTTACTAAAAGTAGTTGAAATATCTTTGTGATTTTAAGTACAAATAGTCCTGGCTGACAATCTGTCTGACAAGGCTGTGTATAAAAAGCTCCTCTGCAAGCTGCCAGCACCTAGATATTGTTGAGGCTTCTGATTTTCTCTTAGCCAGGAGGAAAAATGTGATGGGAAAATGTTTGAGGAGGAAGAGAGATTAATAGTGGTCTGAGGGAAGAAGAATGATATTAAATTAGGATGCTCATGTCAGGAAATTATATTGAGTCACTGAATAACCTGGTAGGATAAGTGGAAACTCCACTGGAAAACAAAAAAAAGGCCAAGAAAGAATTTAATTTACTTTAGAATTTAGTCTATTTCTCTCTTATGCAAGACATGGAAGATACTTTAAACTATCCTTAAATTCCCTAAAATTTGAAATTATCTACCACGTTACATTCATCTCAGTATCAAAAGCATGGTGGATTTTTTCTACTTCTTTCTCAATTGCTGGCAGACTGAAACAAATACATTTTTCCCCTTGATTTTCCAATTATACTTTTAAAATTAATAGCATAAGTCTCTTGGAAGCTGGAAATTCACTGTTTACCTCTTAAAAGCAACAGCTGTAGTAGCTGTGCCTGGTTCCCCTATAGTACCAAGCTGAAGCCCCTCTCTTCTACCCCTGAGAAGCTGTTCTGAAGAAAAGGGATTATTACAGAGCCTGTATCAATCAGGTTGCAGTGATGCAGGGGAGATGCAGTTAATAACCCAGTGAGAACTACAGCGAGGCTGCTCCACTCATTTCCTATGAGCCCCTAAAGAGCTGAGAAACACAGCTTTGTCCTGGTGACCTGAGCTGCATACAAATCACCTCTCTGGGAAAATCAGAGCTCTTCCTTGGGCCATCTCCAAGCTTACTTCCTTCTCTCTTCCATTGTCTTTGAGGACAAGAATAAGTGTGGTGAGACAGAATATTCTGTTAGCACCCAAAATGTGTGATTAATTAGACCAGTTATTTATGAGATTCATATTACTTAAGCCAATGGGGAATCTGAAATTGTTGGGTTGTAGAGAACATAACAAAAAGTAGTAGAGATTGATGGTCATTTCTTTCCCTTTCTGAAAGGAAGAACGGATTTTGTTTAAATGTATATAATGGAGCAAATTCTTAAAAAGAATACTCAGCAGCATGCTTTTATGAAATTAATCATGGAATCCTGGAGTGATTTTGGTTGGAAGGGGCCTAAAAGATGTCCTGGTTACAGCTCCCTGTCATGGGCAGGGACACCTCCCACTAGACCAGGTTGCTCCAAGCCCCATCCAACCTGGCCTCGAACACTTCCAGGGATGGGGCAGCCACAGATTCTCTGGGCAACCTGTGCCAGGGCCTCAACACCTACATAAAATGCCTAGCTGTTATATATCATTGTCTGCTGTTAGTTTTTAAAGTACATTATAAAAGTGGGAAATGAAGGCACAAGAGAGAACACAACAACTTGAAGAGTGTTGCTCATCAGGTCACCATCAGATTTGATCATTTGAGTTATAAAAATTTTGATCATTTGTTTCTAAAAATAGCAATATAATTAGAGTAATAAAAATTTGGACAATTTGGATTAGGACAATATGAAACAACAGAAACAAAGAGTTACGGATAGTCCGGGTACCTTTTTCTGGGCAAAATAATCCTGAAAAAGGACACTCGTTAACAGAGGATTAACCCTTAAAAACAACAGCCTGTTGCATATTCATACATCCCATACATGATGCATAAATTCCATTCAAACACAGGATTCTGTCTGATCATGTCAACTTCTTCCTCTGAATCCTGACGGCGTCTTTAGAGCTGAGTGACGCGGGAAGAAGTTCGTTTCTCCTGATAATGGAGCAATAAATTCTCTTTCTCAGAAAGATTTAGGTGTCCTGTGGCTGCTATCTCGCTGCGAGTCCTTACTTTAGAAAAAGTATCTTACATAGCATAGTTTCGATTTTAACATTATGTTATAACCTAAACTATATTTAACACACTACTTAAGAGAATTAATACAACATAACATTCTAACATAACAAATATATTATTCATTTTAATGTTTGCGAAAAGCCAATTATAAAATACACATTTTTCTCAGGTGGCTGCTGTGCTCGGGGAAACAGACACCCGGAGGGGTTGTGACGGGGCTGTAGGTGCGGAATTTATTCCTATATTGTTCCCTGCCGGCGCTTCGCTGCAGCCCCGCGCGCCGCCTGCCTCCGTTTCAAGTCAGAAAACTGCAGATAGCCAAATGGCGTCGGGGTGGTGTTCTCCCCTGCCATATTTCGTTCCAGCAGTAGTGGCTAGCTGTTATTTCCTAGAGTTCTGCGGTACGCGGCTGCGTTCGAACCGCGCTAGCGCGTCCCAGCCCGGGCAGAGAACGGGCAACGTGTTTTGTCCCCTCCGGCTGCCCGTAGCCGCCCGCCGAGCCGCGGCGGGACGGCGGGCGTCGCTTCCCACGCGTCAACACCGAGAGAACTATCGTTCCCAGAATGCTCCTCGTCACTGCGCATGTGCAGTGTTCATTCGAGCGTCCATCTTGGCACCAGTTTCTTCCAGCTCCTCACAGCACAAGGGCGGCAGAGACTACAATTCCTAGCGTACTTCGCGGTGCTCGCGCATGGGCAGCGCGCTCGTCCGCCATCTTGGCCCGAGTAAACGCCGTCGCCGCCGCCGCCGCCACTAAACAAACCCGAGCCCGGCAGTGGCGAGCGGCGGGGGGGGGAGGGTGCGGCTGCCGCGGAGCCTTCGATGTGCTGGGCACGGCCGGGCAGGTGGGTCCTGCTCCCCGCCCCACCCGGGGCCGTCCACCTCAGGGAGAGGGGCAGCACCGTTTCCGGGACGGCGGTGGACCCGCCGCCCCCTTACGGGCCCAGGGCAGCGCCCCGGCCGATGCTGGGAAGCAGCGCCAGCCGCCGCTCCCTCCCTCCCTCTCTTTCCCCGATCCCGGCGGGAACGCAGCGCCGCTGGCCCCGGGCAGTGCCCGCGCGCAGGGCCGGGCAGAGCGGGCGGGGATGCCCTGGTGGCGGCTGCCTTCGGGCGTCCTTGTCGGAGACCCTCCCCCCTCCCGAGCCCACGCTGGAAGCTGCGGCGGCGTCGGGGCTTTTGTTCCCGGTGCCCAGCCCTCCCCACCCCCGGCTCTTGCCCGGCCCAAGCCCCGCTTGCCCAACTCGCCTCCGGCCGCTCTTTTCCCTTTATTATCCTCGTCGCATCGCGGAGATGCGCCCTCTCTCCCCGCCGCCCACGGAATCTCGCTGCGTTTGGATGGAGGTGTTCCCGTGTTTGGCTGATTTTTTGGGGGAGGGGGCTGGTGTTGGTATGTGGAGAGCAAATTTTCACACACGGTGTTTTTGTCATCCTGTCATACAATATAGGCTGGCGCAAAACGCGTTCCCCGGGGGGAAGGGGAGCGTGCGGTTCGCTGAAAGAATTCTTTTAATAGGTACTCTGCATAAAGAGAGGGAGGAGACTTAAACATCATTTCGGAGAGCGTTTCAGGCTGAAAAAAATAGGCTTCGGAAGGAGACAGGACACTGTAAAAATGCTTGAGTGATGCGTTTGAGCTAGAGAGCATAGAAAGTCCATCATGCTCTTGTGAAACTGCCGAATTCCTTCATGCCACTACAAATGTTGGGGCGGGGATGGGAGCGAACGTGGCGGTGGAGTTGTGAGCAGGCTGAGGAGTTTACATTAATCGGCTTGGGAAATCAATAAATGATGGGCTTGAGCGTTTGTGTTCCTTTTGCAGCGAGGCTGAGCTCTGTGGGAGCACAGACACAAGGGAAGGATGCCTGTGGTGTGGCCTACCCTTCTGGACCTCAGCAGGGATGAGTGCAAGAGGATCCTTCGCAAACTGGGTACAGTAAGATACAGTTTGTGGGTCTGTATTTTGCCCTTTTAAGATTTGCCTTCATGCTGCTTGCATGAAATATTTTAATGTGTCTACAGGCAACTTGCAAGTAATTTCCTGCGTTTTCCATGTGTCATTGGTTTGACAGCCCTGGCTTAAAGTTATGTTTGGCTGACACTCTCAGCCCTGGCAAAATGAGTAGAGAAGAATTGTTTTGATGTGGTTGAATCTCTCTTGGATGTCCTAATTGCTGTGTTGCAGGGCTGGGTTTTTCTGTCACTATTAACATGTAGAAAAATTTTCAAAGAGAACCTTTGGGGTTGGTTTTTTTTCCCCCTAGTTCTGTATTAGTCACCTTTTTGTACCCCAAAACAACATAGTGGAATCCTGGTCCCTGCTGTCCCTGTAGGAATGAATCAAGTATTGAAGTTATTATTGTGAAGACATAAAACAGGATTTAAAAAATATGCTGTTTGTGATTTGCAGTTACACAGGTTGTCAGGGAATTGGGAAAATGATGTCCTCACTCAACAGCTATAACCACAGGAATCTTTTTCATTGTTTCAAATGTAACTCAGTACTTAAGGCTGCTGCCCAAGACAGTGGAAGATATTTTTGTGCTTTGTCCTTGTAGATCTAAGTGTATGAGGAGAGATGCTTCTGTTTTGGAAAGTACTAAAAACGTTTGGTCTTTCCTCACTTACCTGCTTTTGGCTACTGCAGGGGAGAGAATCCTTTGTTATACATTTGATCTGATATAGTTGGTTTTGAGTTCTTATGGCTGAATTTGTGTAATTAAGGATTTGGAGTTTTGCCAGTTAAATGGTGCTAGATGGGAAAAGAAAAAAGCCTTATGTTTTTCAGTTTCCTCTGAGGATCATAATCTAGGAGATGATGTCAAGGAGAAAGTTGAGGCTCCCTCTGACTTCCTGTGACTGTCAAGTGACAGCTTTTCTTGTTCTCATTCTGTTTGACTGCTAAGAGATGGTGTGCTGTATTTCTTAACTGTTCCAAGGTTCTCACATGGTGAAGCCATCTACTTTATTTTTTGAGAGTTGAGAACTTATTTTCCCTCCCTTTGCCCTTTTTATTTGATTTGTTGGGAATACGGGATTTGCGTGCTGTTGGAACAGTGATGCAGATGTTGCACACAAGGTTGCAACAAGCTGTACTGTCTGTTAAAGTGACAACCCTAAGTCTTAAGCAAGGCTCAAGTACAGAAACTAGGAGAAAGCTCAGAGTGCCAAAAGCTTTTGACCAGATTTTGCTACTAAGTTTCATTAACTTAGTGCTGGCTGGAAGCCTGGAAAAAAAACTTCCACCCGAGCTAACAGCGGTGTGCTGGCAGAACCTTGCTGGTGCAGCTGAGTCAAACAGAACTGCAGCTGCACCTCCTTCAGTGACATAACCTAGGCTGACAGGAAGGAAAAAAAAAAATAAAAAATAATAATTTTGTTTTGCTGGCATGAGCTGTGTCCCCACAAGGGGGCCCTGCCTCTGTGAGCAGGGAGGAGGCACACACGGGACTGGGGGGTGAAGGAGCACAGGCAGTGGCTGCAGTAGCTGTGTGACAGTCACATGCAGAAGTAGCCATCTACTTTAGGGGGTCCTGCTTTTCCAGCTCACAGACCAACATCTAATTTGGCTAATGGTACAGCAGTAGTGGGAGTGCTCTGTAAGGAGTAAAGCAGGGATGTAGGTGAGGCTGAAATGCATCTTGAGGAATGCAGGACCTGGTGTTGGTTGTGATTTATTACTAAATGAGATGATGATTGTAGCACCTAACACTAGCAATAATGATATTTACTTGCCCAACCCATTTTAGCTAGTTCATGTGTTTTGTGTTGTTGCATAAACACAAAGGGGAGGAAGTTACAGCTGTTCTGTAATCCTTGCTAGCTTCCAAAAGACCAGAATGTGCATTTTACAGCTATAGTGTAGAGGCTCTTTATTTATAATGCAAAAGGGAAAAAAAGTGTGCCCTCAATAAATAATTATATGGCTGCATCTGAGAATTACTTTAAGTTGTTCACAGAGGAAAATAATTAGTATCATGAATATTGTAACATGATTGTCTAAATAAATGTTGATATTAGTAATAACCATTGCATTAATTAGTGAATGTTTTATAACTGAAGTTGTAAATGCTTCTGTAGGTCAGTCAGCATCGCTGTGCAGGCTGCTTAGTTAACCAAAATTGCTCTGCTTTTTGTTTTATCTGCTTAACTGGGAGAGGACAGCAGAACTTCTTTTCAGCACCATTCCTTGATTTCATTTGCAAATTAGCTCTTTGGAATCCTAAATGGAAGCTTTTCAGAAAAGCATCAGTCTTTTCTTTTGCAGCAAACTTCAGAAATGTTAGGTTTTGGCCTGCACCTTTTATTGTTAGCTTTGTATAACTGGGATCTGTTGTGGGTTTGTTTGGGTTGGCTGCTGAAATGGAAGTGTCAAATGAAAGGCACCTGTGTAAGGATCAAGAGAATTTTTGGTTTGGGTTTCCCTAAATAGTGTGAAGCTGAGAATAGCAAGTCATTCTTTGCCAAGTTAGCAAGATTCATTGTTTTCATTAGATGTATTTTCACCCTGTCTGGCAGGACAAACTTCAAAAATATCGGTAGCCTTTTACTTTTTGATTTTTTTAAAGTGCTGTTGGCATGACATCTGTCACTTGAAGTTACACATTTTTGGTAGATCAGAATTGCATTTTTGTGAGTTAGTCTTTGTGGTAGCTCTATATTTAAGAATAGCTAGATTATTTATTTTGTGTTGTGCAGGTTTAATTCATTGTGTTGCATTTCTCTCAGATTCAAGCAGTTGTACCATATCAAGTAAATAGGCATAAAAGATTATGATAATCATTTGACAAACTAGAACTGATGTTCTCCATGCTGATTAGGGAAAGGCATTCCAAGAAAACCAGTTGCTGCTTTGATAGTGTATTTCTTTTTCCAATCTGAGCTTTTCCATAGAGCTCGTAATAATGATACATGTGAAGAGAATTCTGAACTGCTCTAAACAGTTTCTTCAGGCTTTTTGCCTGAATTGTCAGGTCAGAGGGAGCTTGACACATTCATTTGGGTTTGTAAACTAGATAATCCTCTGTGATGAGTCAATTGTTTCATAGAAATGTTTTATGCTGCAGAGTAATTGACTGAGAGAGTTCCAAATCATCAATCTCTTTTGAAATAGCGCTAAATAATTGAAAGACATGTTACTCTTAATGACTTTGAAAATTATTAGAATGCTGTCAGTAATATGAAAAACAACATTTTTTCCCCTTTGCTGTGAGCATTAAATGGAAATATTATTCACTCTAATTCTTCAGAGCTGGAGGCCTATGCAGGTGTCATCAGTGCCTTACGTGCACAGGGAGACCTTACAAAAGAGAAGAAGGATCTTCTTGGAGAACTCTCTAAAGTGCTAAGGTAACCCTGATCTTTTCAAACTAAGAACTATGACCTGTTTTCTTTTAAGGTTACATGCTTTTTTTTTTCACCGGGATCACAACGTAAATCTGAATTTGGAGAAGTAATTCTCCATGTTGCTGAGGTTTCATTCCTGTTCTCCTTGGAGTTTTTAATAAGGAAAACAACCATCCTTCAGTGGTAGAAGCCTTACTGGTTTGTTGGTATTTCTTGGGATACTGAGTGTTAAAAGGGTTACAGCCAGGTCACGAATGTACACTGGCCTGGGGTTTTGTCAAGGTAGAACTCCATGGTCTTTGAACGCAAGGTACCTCAGGAAAGAATGCTATATGGCCTGTGAACTTTTCTGCCTTATCCTTTAAATGTATTGATCTCATTAGGAGGTTGGATTCTAGCTGTTTTTCAAGGATATCCTTTGAACAGTAATGTTCCTTTCATTCTTCAGTAATGTTTCTGAGCAGTAATATGATTCATTCTCTCTGTGACAGCAAGGGTTAAGTGACAGTCTCTTAAATGTAAAGTGCTGTCCCCTTTCTTCTCTTAGATAAATTATTCATAAGTTTAATTTTAGCTGGAATTTTTAGATGTATGTTCTTATTTTCCTCTGATTAAAATATATTTGCTTTATTGTTTTTTGAATAGTATTTCAACAGAGCGACATCGTGCTGAAGTTCGGAGAGCAGTGAACGATGAACGACTAACAACGATTGCACACAAGTGAGTTCCGAGTAATTTTGTCACTGATTTGCAAAAGTACCTTTTGGGAAATCCATTATGCCTTAACTGAATGGTAGAATTTTGAGGATTAATGGTGGTTTAAAGAGCCAGTAGTTAAAACACTGTATGAATGAAGGAATTGCTGTATTAGATATACAGGGACCTAGAAACAGTTATTTAGTACCATTGCATTTTGGATCCAAGGCTATTCCCATTCACTGTACAAGTGCTATTTAAGAAACAGTTTTTTGGCATGGAGACCATTCTGTAAGATAGACCAGAATAAGGAGAGAATGGAGAAAATAAAGATGCTCCTAAATAGGATGAAATGTTTGCTTTTCTTTGTTTATTTGTTTTGCTTTTAGTTTTACTTTAATCAGTTTGGAAAGGCTGTATTAAGAGGAAAGAGAAAGCTACATCGAAAAGACAAAGAGAGGTAAAGAGGTGGCAGATTAGTGGAAAACCGACTATCAGCATAGAAAGAAAAAAATGGTCAGAGTAGAAAAAGCTGCAGCAAGTTGATGACATCAGTGTCCACCACGCTCAGCGATGCAGCTGCTGTGCTGGCATCAGCTGGGCTGGTTCCTCCTTGCATTTGCTTTCACAAGCTCCACATAATTTTGAGAGGTGGAGGAGCAGTAGACCAGGTGGTTATGTATTTTTGGTAATTACTTAATAGTTTTACTGTTAAGGACTGTCTTTAAACAGAGCTGCTCTGTAAGTGTCTGTGTTTTTTTCTTATTCTGTGTTACAGCTGTTGACTTTTTTATGTTTGGCTGTTGTAGCTTTGGTGTTGTGAAGAGGAAAGAAAGGAAATAATATGAATAGCAGAACACTTGGAGTTAACAATTGTTTGATCCATGTCTAGTCAAAATCAGCATACTGGTTTAGTGCTGTAGAAAGACTTCAAGTTTTAATTTTCAAGTTTAAAGATATAGAAGTATGCTGTTCACCAAACAAAACCCACCAACGTCCTTACATCCCTTTAAATAAATGGGGGGGGGAATAATGAAAAGTATGTAGTTGTCAAATCAGGATTCTTGTCCTGAATCAAGTTTTCCTTTTAAGTAGTACTTCTAGTCCTAGCATTTTGCAAAACATGAATAGTTTGTCCTGAGGTATTGCCCTTCAGTGAAATACTATAATCCAGACAAGGTGCAGTTTTGAAGTGCTGATTTTCTTTATTTTTCCTTGGTGATTCCTTATGAGTCATGGTTGGTAATATAGTATTTGACTTACATAATTCTCTTAACTCATCAGGAAAGCCTACTTTGCTAGCTTTTGTACCCTTTATTTTTTGTTTTTAAATTGTATCTTTTCCTTAGCTTATGGAGCTCTCTTTATACAATATGCATATGTATGAGGCATGCTGAAGCATACCAAGATTTAATAACAGAGCAGATACTCTGGATTTTACAAACTGCTTTGTAGTAGCTCTTGCTGCAATTTGCTTGAAGTATTTCATGTGAGAAGTTATTTTTTAGAATATATTAATACATTAAATGGGTTGATTTGCTTAAAAACATCACAGCACTGAAAAATAATTTGCCGCTTTGCTTTTGCTGATTTTACAAATGACTCATGTAAAACAGTCAAAAATATTTCTCCATCTAGATAAGAATGGTGTTTTTATGAAACATTCTAGTGTGGGTGTAAGTACTGAGGTTAAAGAGCAAACTAGAACAGAAGACAGCTTTCTGTTTAGAAAGATGCTGAGGGTGCATTTAAATAATCTCATGTTCTGTCACCTTGTTTGAGACTACTTTAACAGCATCAGAAACTCTTTTGCTGAGGTAAAATAAAGTTTGTCTTAGAAGCAGAGAGTTTTTCCCTGAAACATAATCCATTTCAATAGTCTTTCATGATATCTGTTTGGTTTCTTGGTATTTTCATAATCTAGAAGTAGAGAGTACAGCAACTGTACCTGAATAGTAGCTAACCTAATGTGGGGGGTTTGAGTATGGCATTCACACACCTCTGGCCCTTGAACAGCTCTGTAAAACAAAACAACAAAAGAAGAGTCAACTCTTCAATTTAAAATGGGAGGGTTTTTATATCAGATGACCAAAATGCAAGGGCTTTCATCAAATAAAGTTGAGTATTAGTGCTCTAGTGTGTCTTAAAAAGAAATTTACTCAAATGGGATACTGAGTATTTGGAAATTTGTCAAAACACTTACAGCACATGCATTTCTGTTTAGTATGTCAGGGCCAAACAGCTCTTCTGAGTGGTCCATAGAAGGTCGTCGGCTGGTGCCGCTGATGCCGCGGCTCGTGCCACAGACAGCTTTCACTGTCACCGCCAACGCTGTTGCCAACGCAGCCATCCAGCACAATGCATCTCTGCCAGTTCCTGCAGAAACTGGAAACAAAGAAGGTGAGAGAAAGGTGGAGTTCTGCTGCAATCTGTGGGAATGTAAAAACAACGTCACGTTAGAAACTGGTGTCTTAAATATTAAGTGTTAAATATTAAAGATATTTTAACGGGCCTTGGAGCAGCCCAGTCTAGTGGAAGGTGTCCCTGCTGATGGCAGGGGATTGGAACTATGTGAGCTTTAAAGTTCCTTCCAACCCAAACCATTCTATGAACCTATTAAAAAAAATTCAAATCTTTCTTACCAAACATTATTCACAGAAATATAAAATACCCCTTTTTTAAAAGATTCCTTTGCGGTATCTGCAGCATTAATCTGACTGCTTTGTATTATTGACACTCTAGCAATTGAAATATAAAGAGTCCAGTTTGTCAGGAAATGACATTCACTGATTAACTTCTTCAGCTCTGTAAACTTTAAAAACTTGGACTAATGGCTAGGTTTTGTAAAGTTCTGTAAGTGATGAAAGCTGTTTCAGAATGTTTTTTTTTAAGAGTGCAAGTAGGTTTTGGTTAAAATCAAGAAAATCTAACTTTGGGTTTTTTCCTTCAGATTAAATGTACTATGGGAGTAAGTAAAGAGGTTGCTTTCTGCTTTCCTATGATTTTTAAATAATGGTAGTACACATTCCAACTAGCTTGGCTCAGCAGGCTTGAATTAGGCTTCATACAACTGGAGAATGTGTAACACTTCTTGAAACAAGCTGTTTTATCCTGGTTTTGTGAGAAGTACTGTATCATTGTATTATTACTTAAAAGCAGTGGTTTAAAAAAGCTGATTAGCACAATCAGTTCTTCACTACTGAATGAATAATTTGGTATTTTCAACTGATGTACTGTTGAGGCAATAACACTTTTCTATCAGTTACTTGTCTAGATGTGATCACTTATAGAAAAGCAAAAAGATCAACATATTGAATTAATGCTAAAACTAAAAATAACATTATAAAGTAAAACAAAGATCAATACAAAAAAATTTCACATTGGCAGCACAGATTTTTGGGGATGGGAGGACAGGAGTTTAGATTTTTGTGTTGTCTTTGAAGACTATTAATCTCATGGCCATGCTTGGCTCAAACTGGGGAATATTCCACAGTAACAGGAATGCAGAGGCAAAACCACAGATAGTAAACCCAGTAAGTCTTTGGCTTCCATTTCAGTTGTAAAAATAGTGATAGCATAATGGGATTCTGCACTTCAGTTATATGGAAGGTGTCTTTTCTCCTCTTCAGTGGTGGTTTGCTATTCCTACACAAGTACCACTTCAACCCCAACATCTACCCCTGTTCCAAGTGGCAGTGTAGCGACAGTGAAGTCCCCCAGACCTGCCAGTCCAGCCTCCAATGTAGTCGTCTTGCCAAGTGGAAGTACTGTTTACGTCAAAAGTAAGTGATACTAGCACCTGATTAACAAAAGGGAAAGAAAGGGAGAACATGGCTGAGGCATAGACCAAACTAAACGCTCCAACACTGGGCAAGTCATTTCAACAAGGCCTTTGTGCCTTTGTTTAGTCTAGAGATTGAATTTATTGCTTCCCTTTTTCAGATAAATAGTATTCAGGATAAATCCACTCACTGCAAAATGCTGCAAGGACAACAAGGGAAAAATATTTTGAAAAATATTTCTGTATGTCAGTGAATTTCTGATCCATCTTGTTGAGAACTAATGCATAGTAGTCACTTAGTTGAATTAGAAAAGGTCCCTCTTGTCCACTTTCACAGTTGACGTAGAATTTTTTAATTTTTGGGTGCAGTTAGGCAGTGGTTTATGCTTCCATAGTATGTCTGGCCATTTTGTGATTTACCTGGAAGTCAGTCTCCGTGAAGCTTGTGTTCCTTGGCAGCTGCAAAAACTTTGTATGAATTCCTACCAGAGACCCATCTTCATGTAATTAAATCTGGAAATCCAGGACATACAATCTAGAAAAGGTCTTTTTTCTTCAGAGGGTGTATGTGTCCCCATCTTTGTTTGGCTAGTAAGTCAGCCAGTTCTAAAAGCAGATTATGGTCTCATATATATGCCCTCATCATGGTTAGTTTTATTTTACTATTAAAATGTTTTCTTCAGTTCTTATTTGATTCTATCAAAACAAAAGTAAAGATTAATAGTGGATAAATGCTATTTAGAAGTAGATAAATGCTATTTCTATGCTTGCTCTGTATACCTTTAATATTTTAAAGATTATTTAATTATTAAAAATTATTATCTTTATGCTATATGTATACATCTGTATAAGTTTCTAGCTAATCAGAAATGCCACTTAGTACATAAATATAATGTTACTTGCAAAAAAAACCATTGTTAATGGCTCTGTCAACCCATGAAACCCATTACATTTTTCATTTTTCTGATCTATGCACTAATCACTTGAGTTTAGTTTGAAGATTCAGGGGAAAACATTCTTAACATCTAAAAATTTTAATGTAGGCTTTATTGAATTAATACATGATAATGAATATCAAATAAGTCTAGACACATGATACAGGGATGATAATTTTCATTGTCTGTCTCTAGATTTAATTTTTTCTCCCTACTTCATGTGCTTTGTTTTGTTGTTATTGTTTTTATTCTTTTTTTTAAGGAATTGTGTGTCTTTCCGAATATGTTACATCAGTCACATTGATTTTAACAAACCTGTTCAGGAGCAGATTTGAGAGATCTGAGTTACAGTCAGGACTTTGCCACTGGTCTGTTGTGTAACCTCTTCCAAGTCAGTCTGACTGAGCCATTAACCTTTCCATGACTCTGCTTCCTTACTTACCAAGTGTGAGTTACAGTCAAAGCTGTATTACCTTTTAGCTAAATGTCTGTGGAAAGCTTTGTACAGCAATTTCTAACATGAAATGATGAGAATAATATTCTTGCAAAACCCCAGCAGTGAAAAGAGGAGGTGAAATGAGCTGTACTTAACATAAAATAATGCTCTGCTAGTTTAATGTTAATTTATGATGTCTTGATGGGTTGGTTGATGCTTTTTTTTGTGGATGAGGACCACAAAGTTTTCTCTATTTCTTGGTGCCCCACCAAAATAACAACTGTGTCCTAGCATGCTAGCTGCATGTGGATTTTGGACTTAAATAGATTCTGAGATTTTTAAATGACTGCACACATTCAGTGTGATTAGTGCACTCATAGTTACAAGTTTCTATAGTGCACTCACAGTAATACTTAGAAGCCTGTCCATAATAAACCTTAAAGTTATGTAATCAAACCTCTGCTTTATAGAGGGAGGTCATCACTAGGCTTATTCAGGGGCATAGGGTAAATTATTGATTAGAATATTTGATTGATTGAGAATAGGATAGAATATATTGACTTGAAATCTGGTTTTATAGATCCACACTTCACTTGTACTGCTACAGCCAGCTAAAGCTACGTTTCTGAAGTTTGCTTCTCCTCCCCAGTTCAGTTTTCTGTCTCTGTAGATACAGTTGTCAGCCTTTGGACAGGTATCTGCAAATGAGCTGCTACTCCTGCTGAGAGAGAATACCATTTTTCCACAATTGCCTGTTGTGGTCTTGGGCAGTTTCGTGTCCATGTTAGTTCTTGCATCTTCACTTTTTGAATGCCAGAATATTAATGTTAATTAGAGATTGGCCATAATTAGATCTTGGCCCTAACTAGAGATTGACTACCAATCAAGTTTGCTTTGATTACCTGCAAGACTGCTTTTTGCTGTGGTGGTGTTCTTTGTCTTTAAGCTCCAGGCACATGGAACAAGATTTTCAGTCATCTTTTGCATAGGCAAGATTGTATCTGTTCAGCTTCTCTCTGATTGTTTTCCTTTTTAAATGGTTTGACACAGGTTAGAATGGTAACATAAATAACAGGACTGCAGATTTGTCAAGGTTGGAAGAGACCTTCAAGATCATCTAGTCCAACCATCAACCCAGCACCATCATAGTCACCCCTAAACTACATCCCCAAGTGTCTCATTCAGATACCTCCTGAACACTTCCAGACTGTTGTCCCCCCAAGCAACTTATTCCAATGCCTCACCACTATTCCAGTGAGGTTTTTTTCTTCTAATACCTAATCTGGACCTCCCCTGGCACAATTTGATGCTATTTCCTCTTGTCCTCTCACTTGTTACCTGGGAGAAGAGTCCAGCCCCCATGTGGCTACACCCTCCTGTCAGGGAGTTGTTGAGAGCACGAATGTCCCCCCATAACCTCCTTTTCTCCAGTCTGAGTCCCCCCAGCTTCCTCAGCTGCTCCTGCTGCTCCAGACCCTTTCCCAGCTCTGTTCCCTTCTCTGGCAGTGCTCCAGCACCCCAGTGTCTCTCTCTCTGCCCAGGAGGTGCCCAGAAGTCACCCCAAGACTGGAGGTACTTCAGCAATTCCCAGCATAAGGAATGGTCACTGCCCTGGTCCTGCTGCCACACCAGTGCTGATACAGGCCAGGTGCCATTGTCCTTGCCCACCTGGGCACACCTGGCTCATATCCAGACAGCTTTGGCCAGCATCCCCACATCCCTTCCTGCCTGGCCACCCTTAAGCCACTCTGCCCCCAGCCTGTAGCTCTGCATGAGATGGTTGTGATCCAAGGGCAGGACATAGCCTTGCTGAACCTCAGCCCATGGATCCAGCTTGTTCAGATCCTTCTGTAGAGCCTTCCTGCCTTCAGTGCTACCAAGCAGCTGTGAGAGGTTTGCAGTCACTAACCTGTGTGTGGTGGTGTTCACAGGGGTCCCAGGATGAGGGATGAGACAAGAATCTTGACTCCATGTTTCAGAAGGCTGATTTATTATTTTTTATTTTAATATATATATATTATATTAAAACTATACTAAAAGAATGGAAGAAAGCCTTTCATCAGAAGGCTAGCAAGGAACAGAAAGGAAAATGGAACGATAATAAAATCTTGTGACTGACCAGAGAGTCTGAGACAGCCAGACTGTGATTGGCCATTAATTAAAAACAACCATGAGACCAATCAAAGATGCACCTGTTGCATTCCACAGCAGCAGATAATTATTGTTTTTTCTTTTCCTCTGAGGCTTCTTAGCTTCTCAGGAGAGAAGATCCTAGCAAAAGAATTTTTCATAAAATATGTCCGTGACACTTGTGCCTTTCCATAGTTTATGAATATGTTGCCTACTTTAGCAAGTTTCATTTGGATTTGAGATCCATTAATCATGCTGTTATCCTTTCCTGAACTGAACATTGCAGCAGATTTTTTTTCCTATGTGTGCAGTATATGATTGTGAAGAAGAAAGAACTCTTAGGAGCTTGGATTTCTTTTGTTTTTCGTTATTGTGTGCTAGGTGCCCCTTTATATCTGTTGCACAAAATGCACCAAAGAAGGCAAAAGCTGATGAACTGAGGATTGACCTTCACAGTTATAATTCTTTTTTTTATTATCTAGTTTATCTCAAGATGCTGTATTAAGGTGGAAGGCAGAAGGGTACTGTAAGGGTAAACATGACACGAAAGTAGGTGCAAAGGCTGAAGTCTAAGGAAACTATAGGGGGATAAATTCAGTAGTCCAGTTGCTGTAAACAAAACCACCACCAAAAAAACCCCAAAGTAGTGTCAAAGTTTAAACTAAAATGTGTGTGACATGATCCCAATCCCCTCATGCATGTAGCTTCACTGATCAAACTTCTGTAGGCAGAACAAAAGCCCTGTACTGGCTCTTAGGTTCTTTTAATCTCTCAAACTGAATGAAGTAACCCAGTAACTGAGTAGCTTGGGGTTTTGGGTGATTTGTCCCCGATTCATGGCACTGAGTGTGACCCATATCAAGGACTAAGAGCATCTGAGGTGTGATACAGCTTGGTTGTGACCATAAGATGTAATTTATCCTTTATTTCTTTTTATCTTACTTGAAAGAGGATGTAAGACTCAAAAAGGATGTAGTGTTTCAGAAAGCACTGAGATCTGCAGACAGGGGAAACACAGTTTAGAGAAAGTGTTTCTTTTCCAGGTGTCAGCTGCTCAGATGACGATGAAAAGCCCCGCAAAAGACGACGAACGAATTCCTCTAGTTCTTCCCCTGTTCTCCTGAAAGAAGTCCCGAAGGCAGTGACTCCTGTCACTAAAACTATCACAGTGCCTGTAAGTGGGAGCCCCAAAATGAGTAATATAATGCAGAGCATTGCCAACTCCTTACCACCACACATGTCGCCTGTGAAAATAACCTTCACTAAGCCCTCAACACAGACAACAAACACCACAACACAGAAGGTATGTGGGGGAAGCTGCCAAATGTTCCTTTATTCTGGTTTTATCAATGAATAAGATGTGATGTTTGACTCTTCCTTTCTGTGATCTGACTAGCTGTTTTTTAAGGATTGCACTTGGGATAAGGTAATCCCTCTTTAAAACGAGCAAAGGGAAAACCAAACTCTTGTATGAATTTAGTTCACCTGTGTGTGAAAGGACCTGGATTGACAGCCTTGGAGACTGAAGCCCTCTTTTTATCCACAGAACAGGTACAGCACAGGCAGCGGGAGTGCAAGCTTCCCCCAGACTGCCCCACCAATGTGCCTCAACCCTGACCTGAAGGGACCACTTCTAGGGATGAGAGGGGATTCAGTCTCCATGCTCATTCAATTCTTGGCCTGTCTGGTGAGACTGCCAACAAGGTTACCAGTTAGTACCATTTGTGGTGTTGGGTTTTGTGATATGGACACTAGTCCACTGAGAACTGGATCACATAGGCCACTGAACAGCCTTCAGATGGTAACAACTGTTGGTCAAAGGTAATCTTTCTTATTTCTATTTTCCTTATTTATAATTACTCTTTGCAGTAGTAGAATTCCAGGAGAGGTGGCATGGGCTTTGCCAAGCCTTTTATCTAGAGACTAGTGTTTTGGGCTCTATAATGCTTATTCTTGGAGCTGGTCAAAGTCCAGGGGCTTTATTTTTCTTTCAGTACTAGTTGCCATTTCTCATTCTACATTAACAGTGTTACAGTGGTCAAAATCAGTTGCATTATTTCAGCTGAGTCTGCCTAGCTTTCACCACAATGCAAAGTGCAGAAAAGGTTTTCCTTGTTTAAATTTTGTACTGGACTTAGGTTTTTAAGTGCCTAATCTATGGCATGACTATATTACCATTCCTTAGGAGGCATTTCAGTTGTGTTTGTTTTTCTGTTTTTAAGATTTTAAAAAAAATGAATGGTTCAGACCAAGTTCATTCTTGGTACTGTTATTTGGTACAGCAGACTTCAGGAAGATGTAGGGTCTCTGTGGAATTAATTTTGCCTCAATACCAGCAGACTTATGCTAGGCTGGCCACTAACAAGCATTTTTTCCAATGGTGAGAGTTTGACTATTGAGCTCAAACCTTTGCATTGCATTTATCCTACTAGTCTTCTTAATTGCTTTATGACTCTTTTTGGATCAGCAGAGTTCCCATGTCTTGATTTTTGGAAACTTTAAAACCAAGTAATGTGCAATAAAGATATTGGCTTTCTGACCTCTTCCCACTCCAGGGAAGATGCTTTCATTTGATTCACTGTTCTTTAACAGTGTCCTTAATCAAATTTCATCCCTGAATACATGAGTGTATTAGGGAAATCCATGTGTGAGCATAAACCATCAACTTACAATTCAGTGCAGCAAGTTCACAGCTACTAGAGGGCTTAACCTATCCATCCTGTTGCACATTAGGGTTATAATTAGTGCAGGAATAATTTTTTTGCCCTAAACATCTGTAGGGTTGTATTAAGCATGGGTGTGTTATATCATGGAAGTTAAAGATGGAGTGTACTAAGAAGAGTGGACTGTTGGTAGGACCTTTACTACAGTTATGCCTCTCCACTTGTTCTGACTTGGAAATTTTAGAGTTCACTTTGCAGTCTCTTATGTGACTGTTTTACTAATCTGCAGTGACAGGAAAATCAGTACTTGTTTTGTTAGCCAGAGTAGCATTTGTATCTGAACTTGTCACAGTGCCCTCTTTTGTTGGATTTAGATATGCCAAAATACATAACTGCATGATTTTGGTGGGAGAAATCCCCTTTAGTAGTTTTAAATTAAAAGTCAGTTCAGTTGATTCATATCTAACAGGCTATTTCCAATTTGAGTGTAAGTTGTTAGATATGAATGCAATTCTTTGTTTCTGCATGCCACCTCTTTGAATTGTTTTGACATTTTAGTAGGTTGGAGGAAGATCTGTCATAACAACTAATAATGTCACAGCTCCAGTTTCTGGATTCTCTTGTAATAAAGTCACCTGTGTAGGACATGGAGAGAATCTAGCCAGTGAAGTTTCTGGCAGTTGTATTAACCTTATTTTTTCAGGGACAAAGTTTGACATATCTCAAAATAGAGCTGACAGGACTAAATTCAGGAAATTAGATTTTACTGTAACAACTAGAACCATCAACAGCAAAATTAACACCTTGGTTTCTCTGTGTGTGTGTGTGTGTATGTTTAAAGTCAGTCAGTGTCTCTGCTGATAACCACAGGATGCAGTTTTGGTACCCATGATGAGATTCTTTTGATCCTTTCAACATATATGACAGAATAATATTTCAGAAATACAGTGGTTGTGATTTGAACTTTAATACTTACATTTTTACCTGAATTTTGTTTTCTGGATGTACTTCATGCATGTGAAAATAACCTTCACTAAGCTCTCAACACAGACAACAAACACCACAACACAGAAGGTACTGAACTTTGCTCTGCTCTGTTAATTTTGAAAGATGAGGTAGAACAGACAGACACAAACCTGCTTAGTCACAGTATAGCAGTCACTGTTGAACTGTAATGCTTTGGAGGCTTTTATTCCTTCCTTGATTGAATAAAGCATTTTTGAGTGGCAATCATGGACTTAAAGAAATGCAGTTGTCTACAGGAGTTGTGATTATGCCCAGTTTCATTCTACATATCTGTATTAGTTTTGATGCTGAACTTGCCCTGTTGTAGTGTAGTTCATATTCACTCTAACCTATAATCTGCCTTTTTAAACTGCAAGCTGTCCTTTGACTGTGTTCCTAAACTAGTTACTCTGGGTGGAATGGAGCTGACCCTAAATTTCAGACAGTTGGAAGTATTCCTAGTGTAAACTGAGAGTTTAAGAAAAAGGATGAAACTCCAGAGGCATATAATAGAATTCTTTCACTTCCAATTCTCACACTAGAACAAGTTGTGTCATGTTCAGCTCATCTGCATGTTTGCAGCCTAAGAGCAATTTGAGAAACGTGTTTTGATTAAATCAAAATTAGGCAGAATGCAAAAATAAGACTGATGCAGAGAAAGTGTTCTCTCTGGAGAATGCAATCAAGTAGAAAAGCAGCAGAATGTAGAAACCTTGTCCTTCAGACACACATTAGTTGTGGTCAACCTGCTATTGCTTGCAGGGTAGTAAGGTTTGGATTTTCCTCAGATCAAGATATTAAAGATTTATCTGAGCAGCAGAGACCATCAAACTTTGAGCTGGGGCAAAAGGAGAGGCTGAACCAGCCATATTGGTGAAATTTTCTGCTTTTATTCCATCCATGTGGCTATTTCCCTTTTATTTATTTTTTCTTTTCTTATTTTTCTTTAAGCAAATTATAAACTTGCAATCTCTTGATGCTTGATTTGTTGCTTAAGTCTGTTTCTGGTGCCATTATCATATTATTTCTTTATCAGGCAAGGTTTCAGTGTGCTTGGCTATCAATGTAAGACTTTGTGTGAGCTGACACAGGTTTTCTTTGCCCCTTTTATGCCTTCTTTTTTATCGGCTTTTGTTACATTGAATCATTAATAAGTTGAAATTTTCAAGGTTTTAATAAACAATTTTTTTCTTGGGACAACAGCGTTATTAAAGTAATTGCTCAATATTCTTGCATGATAAGTTGAAAGTGTTGTATTTTTGTGTTTCTTTTTCTGTTTTAACTATGTAAGTACAAGGAGTGACATATAAGGGAATAAAAGGATTTTTTTATGTAAACAGTCCCCATATTCAATACTTAATAAATGTTTAGTTTCCTAGGTGAGTTGCACCAGGACAGACTTCTTCGAATGATGTCATGAATTCTGTGTTTTTCTATGTCAGATCAGATTAATGGAGTTGTAGCTGTAACTTTGCACTGGGGTGGTGTTTATGCTCTTCAAACAAATCTGAAATAATTTCTTGCTGTTGAGAGCATTAAGTAAAACAGAAATTGCTTCAATACTGCAGCATTTTTCTTTCACTGATGAAATATTATTTGCAGCCTTGTAGATCAAAAGCATTTCCCATTACTGACTCAGCAAGTGCTTGTTAATTGTTAAAGAAAGAAAAATCTGTATTCTCTCATTGCTGTTTCTTGATATTTTTGCAAGGTTTGGAAGAGTGACACTTAAAACTTGCTTAAAATGGGTTTCAAGCTTCCTGGCCCAGTTTAATGAAGTCAAGTTCATTCCTGTCTGTTTGCCTTCAGACATGAGATAATTTTGCTTTGTTCAATAACAATTGTTTTCCTTTAAAATCCTAATTTTAAGGAAATGTTTATCACCACTTCTTCAAAACAGTTGAAATATTTCTTGTGAGCAAATGTGATTGACAATTTTAAAAGCTCTTAATAAACATGTATCCCTAAAACTAAATAGACAGACATATTACTGAAATATAGATGCAAGGAACAAATGAATTTCTTCTTTTTTTTTTTTTCTTTCTTTTTTTAGGTCATAATAGTAACCACCTCTCCAAGCTCAACTTTTGTACCCAACATCCTTTCCAAGTCCCACAACTATGCAGCAGTTACAAAACTTGTCCCAACATCAGTCATTGCCTCAACTACTCAAAAGCAGCCCGTGGTCATCACTGCTTCCCAGTCCTCTGTGGGCAGCAGCAGCAGCTGCTCCACTCCCTCCTGCACTGCAAATACCATTGCTGTGACTGCTGTAGTGTCATCCACACCGTCAGTGGTTATGTCAACAGTAGCACAAGGTATGGCAATTCTCTTATCAAGGCTCTTTCACTGAGAGGTTGGACTTTGCATTGAGAATAGCACCGGGGAGATGCACTTTTTGTTTATGTATGAGTAAAGCACATGTGAAAGAAATCTGCTGATGAAACTAATCCAAGAGGCTCCACAAAAGTTCTTGAACTGTTTTCCTCTGTACTTCAACAGTTAATGTGCAGATCCTCCTTTTAAAGAGCTTGTGATGCTGTGGTGTGACCTAGCTCTAAAACAATATAACCTCAAAATGACTGGCTTCAAGAACTTTGTCTGGTGTATAGAAAAATGTACATTTTCAATATTTGAAGGTGATTGCATCTTTAAAAGCCCAATTTACCAAAACATGCAAAGTTAACATCAAGTAAATACAACTTATTAACATGCCCAGGTGACAATTCTGAAAGGTAGAGAAATATTTGCACCTTTTTATCGGTGCAAATATTTCACTTTTTATCGGTGTCTTTTATCAGCATGCCAGTTTTGAAGTCCTTTATAATTAAGACCTTAGTAGGCCTGATGAAAATTCTTAGGTTTCTCATTTCAAATTCCAACTGTGTATGCTAGCTTGACTGTTTCAGCTTCACAGCCACCAGCTAGCATTTAAAAGGGAAGCTATGAATGAATGAATGAATGAGCCTTAGTGAGCAGCACTTGAAAGAAAAACTGCCTGACAATTACAAGTGTCACATCACAATTTTTCCTGGTCTGTATTTTCCATTCTTGCTCCATTCCACAAAACACTGGGTTGCCATATCAAGGCTGAGGAGGTATTTTCCTTCCTTATTGCTTGTATTAATATAATCAGATATTAATCTGTGGAGCAGAAGGGCTGACAGCAGGCTTTCATATTGTTTGAACTGTTGATTCTTAATTGGGTTTGATCATGGAGGCTTTAATTCTAATGTACATTAGGTGGAGTATCTCTCCAACCATTTTTTTTCCAAGACTGTCAGTGGCATTGCAGAAGATGCTGGTGAAAGGTTTTGTGACATGAACTGGTGATATTTTCAAATGTAAAATTAAACTCATGAATGAAAAGAGCTCCCCAAGGAAGTGGTGTAAGTCACCTTAAATGATGCTGTGAGAAAAGGGTTGCTTATTTAGATTGCCAGAATTGTACTGTTACTATGATTTCTGTCATTATCACTGCCATCTGTTTGTTTTCCACTGCAACTGGGATTTAGTTAAAAAATTACTTCATAAAATATGGACTTAGTTTGTCTGTTTTGATGTTTATGGATATGTTGTTTAGAATTATATACAAAGTCAGATTTTGCTGTAAATGTTGTGACAGCTATATAGGAAAATGACAGAAATAAGTAATAAGATTTATTTGGGAACTTTGTCTTTCCATCTTACTGCAAACATCTTTTAATGTTTTTAACCTAACCTAACAGCACAAAACAGGTGGTCCACAGTTTTATAAATTACATACAATCACTTGATTTTTTTTTTAATTCCAAACAACTCTTTTGCTAGCAGATACTCCCTTCCAATGTTGATGTGTTTGATGTTTGACATTGTCCTAACACCAGCTTCTTGCAATTGTGATTTTGGAATCATTGAATCACAGAATGTTTTGGGTTGAAAATGACCTTAAAGATCTAGTTCCAGCCCCACTGCTAGGGGCCAAAACACCTTCCACTAAACTAGATTGTTATAAATATTTATAAATACAAATATATCTATATTTAAAATACTTTCACTATAGGTATTTTGCTGTCTTGAAGCTTAAAGATGAGAATTTGAAAATATTATTAAATTATTTGTATTACAAAAGGTGCAGAAGTAAACTGGGTTTGTGGTCTTTCCATTAGCTGCTGTTCTGCTGCCACGTTGCAAGTCTGCATGAAGCTCCATTGCCTCCTAACAGAGCACTTCTGCTACATGGGAGCTTTATTTCCTCACATACATCAATGTATTTTTCAGTAGTAAAGATAATTGTAATGTAAGAGTATTTTAGAAATTATAGCATTTTTCTTTCTTGTTGCACTGATCAATCTTAAACCCTTTACTCTTTCACAGGTGTATCTACGTCAGCAGTTAAAGTTGCCTCGACCAGACTACCTTCCCCAAAAGGTTTGGTTGGGAATCCAACTCAGATCTTAGCACAGTTTCCCAAGCAGCATCAGCAGTCTCCCAAACAGCAGCTGCACCAAGTCCAGCAGGCCCAGCAGCAGCCGCAGCAGCAGCAGCAGCTGGTGCCGTGTTCTGCAGCCCAGCAGCAGCCACAGCAGTCTCAGCTGCCAGCTGGCATCAAGCCCACCATTCAGATCAAACAGGAATCAGGTAGTTGGAGTTGATCTTGGGTCACATTGGTGAGGTCTGGCTGCAACTCAGGGAAGTAGGGCAGAGTTCTGCCCCAAAATGTTTATGGGGGAGTGGTCGTGAAGGTGTGATCTCTTGAGTACAGGATTTGGCTTCAAACATGATTATAAGTAGATAGTGAAGGATGTTTTAATGTTTTCAAATAGCAGTAATTAAAGAATTTGGTTCTTTCACTCTTCTTGTTTGGTTCAGGTATTACAGACCATGCTTTAAGTATATGTATTTTTACCTTAGAGGTTGAGAGGTTTGTAAATAACTTCAAAAATAATGTGATTGGCAACCTGAAACACACCAGTTTTCTGAAGATCCAAGAGTTGTTCAACTATATCACCTGGAAAAAGAAGTTACTCCATGTTTTAATTATTTTCTTTGGTCCAGAAATCAAAATGTGCTTTTGAGGTACTTGTCAAAACAAATACAGTTAGATCTGGAAGTTAGACTGGATTCTTTTTGTGATATTGATTCATTCAGCTGACTTTGGGCAAGTCATATTATCTTTCTTTTTTGGCTTTTCTCTGCTTTAGCATACAGTTTTTATCTCAGCAAGAAGTAGTAAGAAATAAAGTTTGCAAAGTTAACCAATTCTCAAATAAGTGCTATAAAAGTGCAAAGTATTTTTATGTATATTCACATAAAATCAGTATTTTATTTTAATCCTGTCAGTAAAATTCTTATTTATATCATACTATTTAGATCAAACAATTAGATTAGACCATGGAATGAAAAAATAAACAGCCCTACTCCTTTGATAAAACCCCTAGTCCTTTGATAAAACTACCTACTTCTGTCCTTTGATCAAACTACCTTTTGGATTATAGGACCATTGCTTAAGAAAATTAATAGCTGCTAATTAAGAGATAAAAAAGGCTTCCAGCCACTGAACAATATCAATGTGAGCTTCATTTTCCTCATCTACAATGAATTTAGGCTCATTGTGCTTTTTAGTTGAAAGTTTCTTTGGAAATACCATCTGATACTAATTCTTTCTGGAAGATGTGACTCAGTTTTCATGGAGACTTTACTCTTTGGATGATACAGAGACTTCAAATTCTCTTTCAGTTTGGAGCTGACTTGCTCTGTACTGCTTTTATAGTTAGTGTAGAGAGAAGAAAACATCTCTGGAGGATGTTCCTCATCTCAAATGGACAAGACTTTTCACCTAAGAATACTTGTGTGCAAACCTAAATGCTTCATCTAGATGGGATTCATTCAGGCTCTATGTTCCATGGCATTTGGCCACCACAATGCCATGCATTTACCTCATCATGGAACAGATCATAAGATGCACATCTCCTAGATGTACTTTTGAACAGATGTTGTCAATCCACTGGTTTGCAACTGAGAAGTGAATCTCACAGAGGTACCATTCCCCAAAATAAAATGAAGAGAAAGGGAGCAGAATCCTGGAGGCATTAAGGTGCCCTCATCCTTCAGTCTTACTGATCCACTCGTAGCTTAAGCCAAATTTCTTTGTGGCTTTAAGATGACCAGTAAATCAAGGGGAAAGTGAGCATTTACTAAAAGTAACCTTCCCTAGCCAGTGTCATAGTTGCTGCCTTATAGTCACTAATACTCCTTGTGCAGAAATGTTTTTTAATTCCTTCAGGATGGAAAAGTTTGTCTAGGCTTATGACACATTAGGATTTATAGACTGAATTGATGAAGAATTACTTTGCTTCTAGATGGTTCATTGTATATGAACCTATTCAGTCTTGGTTGTAACCTGTTGGCTCCTGGGAAAGTTCTGGTTTTTTTGTATCATGTACCAGGAAAAATAAAAAATAACATCAACAAATCAGTGATGGAATGGACAGTGGAAGTAGCTAAGAACTGAAACAGGCACATGAAAGGCAAAGATGATGACTTTTTTGGTGTTGCAAAACAACTGAAACCCAACCAAAACTAAGCAAAAAAAAAAAAAAACAACTAAAAAATTAAATAATTTTTTTCATTATCAAGAATATATGGGCTCAGAATTGAAGCCTTGTGGGGCTACTTGCCCACTAGGCCTTGGTCTGAGAAAGCATTTCAGAAAGTAACTTATCGTGCCTGTATTTTAACAGTGACCTTTCTCCTTTCCTAGGTGTTAAAATAATCACTCAACAGGTGCAGCCCAGTAAAATCCTTCCCAAACCAGTTACAGCGACCTTGCCCAGCAGTAGCAATTCACCCATTATGGTGGTTAGCAGTAATGGGACTATCATGACAACTAAACTGGTCACTACTCCCACTGGTAAGTTATGGCTCTGAGAAGGGAAGGGAGGGTAAATCCAGGCATACAGATGATCAAGCATGGTTTCCTAGGGTTAAAAAATAAGGCACTTGCCTCTTCTGAGCAGTGGGCACAACAGCACATTCACAATCCTGTTGTTATTTATTCTAGATCAGGATTTTTCCACTGAGTGCTCTTTTAGTCCACTGTTGGAATTGGTACACAAAAATACCATTGTTCCTTCCCCACTGGGTTTATTTTAAAGGCAGTTTTTATGAAATCTATACAGATACTTTGCACTTCTGTAGTACCTTATATGACATGATTTATACTGATTTAACTCAAGCAGACAGGTCAGCACTATTCCTGTTTTGCATGGATGGACTTCAAAAGAAATGTGACTTGCTCATAGTCCTGCAGTGAATTTATAAAAAGACTCCCAGTGTTTTTCTGAGCATCTGGTTGTATTTGTGTTTCTAATAGATAATAATGCAGACTGTTCTGATTGTAAACTTGCATGAGGAAAACTTAACAGGTAGCTTTATCCTGGTTTTCAGAAAACTCTTCATTTCCTTATTTTTTTTAGCATGGGCTGGGAATATTAGAACCATGAAATCATTATGGTTGGAAAAGCCCTCTAAAATCATCAAGTCTGACAGTAACCCAGCACCACCATGTTCACCACTAAAAATTTTGTCCCAAGTGCCACATCCATGTGGCTTTTGAATGCTCCCAGGGATGTTGATTCCACTGCTTTCCTGGGCAGCTTGTTCCAATGTCTGACCACCCTGCCCATGAGCAATTTTTTCATAATATCCTACCTGAACCTTTCCTGGTGCAACTTGAGGCCATCTCCTCATGTCCTTAGCATAAACTAATGGTTAATACTCTTGTTCTCTTGTTTATAACTTTTCAAATACCGCACAGATACATTTTTGAGTGCATTAGAAAAAACAAATATTTTGCAGTTTCATTTTGTTGGTAAAATCTGTACTGTGCTCTCTTGGATGTGAACACATCTTTCTGGATGAAACAAACTGCTTTCCTCTTTGATTTTCAGCAATTAAGGGCACTATCTGCAGCATTAGAAGCAAAATGGAATTTCAGTGTTTGTGTTGTTATTTTTGAACAAGTTTCTTTTGTGGACTCAGTGTCTTTGTATTCAGAAAAGGACTAGTTCTAAAAAACAGCATTTATACTATGTTGAGAGGTTTCTTTTGTGCTGCTGTATGCCAAGTCCATAAAATAGCATCATCATTGTATTTTTTCTATGAGTTTTACTTAAACTAATGTTTGGTGGTTCTCTTTATAAGCAATCTATCATATATTAGAAGTGTCATTCCTGAGAGGAGGGGATGAGTTCTGGTCATGTCATCAGATGCCTGACTCCTGGGCATCTAAGGGAGCAAGAGGCAAACCTACAGGCAGAATCTGCACAGCTGTTGAAAATTACAGTCTTACACACAAGGACATGAATTAAAATAAGGCAGTCATGGAACATTTGTTAAAATACTCAGAAGACTGTTATATTCAATTTAAATTTAGTATATACTTGAGTATTGCTCTGTGGATTTAAAAATTACTAGAAGAATTTTAAAGGGTGGTAATAGATTGCAGGATGGGATGTTTTTGTGATCTGACACTTTTCTCCTAAACTAACACATTTTTCCACAAATATTAGTAGAGGATTGTGTTGTAACAGTGAACTTTTTTCTCTCTCTCTTTTAAACAGGAACTCAAGCAACTTATACACGGCCAACAGTGAGCCCCTCTCTGGGAGCTCGGATGGCTGGAACTCCAGGGGCTGCTACTTATGTGAAAACTACAAGTGGCAGCATCATTACTGTAGTACCAAAATCCCTGGCTACTCTAGGAGGAAAGATCATCAGCAGTAATATTGTTTCTGGTAGGCATATGAGTACTGTTGTTACTTGTAAGGCTTTTATTTCAAAAGTAACTTTGGGCTTGATCAAATTGTTCAGGGCTTTTCTGTGGCTTACATGCTCAAATAGTTATTACAACCTTTATTGGAGAATTCAGAAGGAAAATAGCTGAGCATGAAGAAGGTAATAGGTAGAAGTTTGAAGGTGGAGTGTTCTTAAGGATTGTGATAGTTCTTGTGTTTAAGAAGGAAACAGCAAATGTGAAGGAAAACTGGGAAGAAAGAGAAATGTGGGGTGGGAGCTACTATGTTGTACAGAGGACAGAAATATCAGAAAACACTATTGGCCCAAATTCAAAAAATTTTATAATCTCAGTGCTGCCTTTCTCTGTTCCACTGCATATCCAAAGGACCGGAATAAAAATGGATTGTGTATGTTAAATTCAGCCTTGCAGTCTTCACCTTACTTTGATATTTTACCTGTGGCAGCCTGTCTGTCCTTTAGGCCATGTTCTGCCTTAAGCTTTCCCTCCCAGCTTTATGCAGACAGTGCTGGTTGTCTTTGTTAGTCTGCTGGTTAGCCATTGGTCTCCCTGCTGGTTATGTGCTTGTACAGGTTTCTCAGAGAAGCTGTGGCTGCCCCAACCCTGGAAGTGTTCAAGGCCAGCTTGGATGGGGCCTGGAGCACTGGTGTAGTGAAAGATGTCCCTGCCCTTGACAGGGGTGGAACTGGATGAGCTTCTAGGTCCCTTCCAACCCAAAACGTTCGGTGGTTCCATCATCTCTGAAGATAGGGTTTTTTGGGACCAGGACCAAGCACACTGATACCAGTGGCAACTTCTTGTATATGTTTAGGACTTTGTTTAGCAAAGACCTGACATGGCACCAGCCAGCTCCAGTCACTGCAAGGTGCTGCACAAGCCATCCAGTAAATGCACTCTTGGGCTGTAATCTGGTAGAGCAGTTTTACAGGTTTTGATTTCCACAAGATTATATTTAGTGATGATACAGCATCTTCTTTGGCAACAAGTAACTTTTTTTAGCCTGTTGTGGATATGGTGAATTATGAAGACAATGTCTTGTATCATACACTTGTAATGAATTATACACAAGTGGAAGTATTCTCCTGAGCAGCAGCTAATGTGGGGAAACCTGTGAGTGATCCTGATGAGAATAATAAGAACACAAGTTTGGAAATCATGCCTGCTTTTGTTTTTTTGTTTGCTTAATTGTTTTTACTAAGGGAGCAGTCCTTTAGATGCCTCTGAAGTCAGTAGGATTAAATAAATCGTAATTTTGTCACAACATGTCTTCCCTTTCCCAGAATTGGTAGAATTGTTAATCGGAAATAGGTTGTGAAGAATCTACAGGCATGACTAATGAGTAGAAGATAGTAAAGGGAATCCTTGGGTTTGCCACTCTGTTGTGACTGAATGGTACTTTCCTCTGGAGAAAGGAGAAATTGTTCATAAAAAGCTGTCTGAGTAGCTACTGCAATGGCAGTCTGATAGCACTGATGACTGATTCCAGTGTAGGGACTTTTGTGGACTGTGGAAGGCTGACCAGAATTACCTGTCAGTGCAGGTAACCAAAAACCTGATAAAGGGAATGGAACTAATTAAATACTAACATAGGAACAGCTATAGCCAGGTCAGCTCTTCAAAAAACAAACAAACAGAAAAAAACCCCCAAAACAACTAACTGGAGATACATCCTTGGTACATAGATTCTTCTACAGAGGTCATCTGTAGAAGAGTATTTGTCTGTGCAAATAGGAGCTTGAGTTGAGTATTAATGATGTTCTTATCCCACCCTAACTCTAGCCTTTGACAAGTTCTACATGTTTGCATGAGAAAGCTGTGTTAGTCTGCTCTGTAACTTGTGAGAAGGGGTTGCCTGTCCTAATGTAAAATACATTCTGTTCCCCTGGGCACACCTGTTTTTACTGTAGGTGAAAGATTTCTTGAGTTGGCATGTAATTTTTCCATGTTGAGTTGGGAGACATGAATTTCCTTTCCAGATGCTGCAGGTTTCTTGATGTGCTGTCAGATTTAAATACAATGATTCTTCTATATCTTACCAACTTCTACGGTGAAAGGAAATGTACAAAATGTGATAAACTGCACATTATTTTTTTTCCCACAAAAATTTAGGAACTACGACCAAAATCACTACAATTCCAATGACATCAAAACCCAATGTGATTGTTGTGCAAAAAACTACTGGGAAAGGAACTACAATTCAAGGGCTTCCAGGCAAAAATGTGGTCACAACACTGCTGAATGCTGGGGTAAGTAATTGTTTCAAGTCTCAGATTGAGAGCCTGGTGACAAGCTGTGTGGTGGCTGCTGCTTGTCCTCCATTCTGCTAAAGGCTCAATTAAAAGCAAACTGTGCATGAGCTCCTTAACAGATCTGGCATGCCTTGATGTCAGGGATCTTTAAAAACTGACTGTGGTTTGCAGAACATGCTTAAAGCAAACTGGGGATGTTTTCGAAGATAAAAGAAAATATAAATTTTAGAACTTTTTTTCCCATGGATAATGATTTTGTATTGCTGAAGTGAGAACCAGGCTCCTGTGTTAATAACTTGCATCTCCAGCCATTTTTCATTTGGGTATAAAGGGCAGAAATAAACTGTATCCTCACAGTAGGGGAAGCACTTTCAATTAATTTGGTTTGTAACATTGTGGCATCCTGTGCTCTGGGTACTGCATAGTGGTGAATTATTTTTTTGGTAACCTGAGGTATACCTAAGAATAAAATCAAGTTTCTGGCATCTACTGAGCTTATCTTTAAGTACTAGTAAATAAAAATGATCAGTGTTCCTAGGTAAAACTGAGAGATTTAATGCCTTATTCCTGTAAAATTTAAAAGGCTGCTTGAGTAGCAGAACTATTGAAAGGGTTTTTTTTTAATCTTTTATGGTTTGTTTTTTTTTTTTTAAGTTTTGAACTTCCCTTGTTTTAGAATTAAAGGTATATTTGCAGACAAGTGGAAAGATTATGATGTTACAAAATAGTAGCTACCAAAATGGGATGGTATTTTTGAAACAAGTATGGTTTGGGGGATTTCCAGCTATTTCATGGATATTGGTAGGACCTGGCTACTACTGTGCTACTCACTTGGTTTGCTACTGTGCAGAGCTTAAAAAATCATGCTCAATGTCTTTGCTCTTCTTAAGCTATCAGGAGTCTAGTCAGATGTAAACACTATTCTGTAGTCAAATGATTCCTGTGAAAGTGCTGTGAATCTGGATTTTTTGATGAAGTGAACTTTTAATTGAAAAAAAGTCCATACATAATTAATGTCTTGGTTGTGAAGACAATGCAAAAAATCTATATTTAAATTAATTTTTTAGAATCTCAATTTAAATAATATTTTAGAATCCCAGTTCAAGTTTTGTAGATGTCTTGCCAAAGTTAGTGTTAACAGAAATTGGTGGTCTTAAAAAAGCATTTGTGAAGTATTTGAAGAAAGTTCCAGTTTTAAAAACTTCATGTCTTTTAGTTACTTGTTTTTATTCACCCCTTCAGAGCTGCTTGAAAGATAAGATAATGGAAAAGTGGATTTTGGTAGCTTTTTCCATTCAAAACCATAGGGTTTTTTGTTCTTCGTCATCTAATGTATTTTCTATCAAATAAATGTAGTTGTAGCAGCAGATTTATTTCATGGTACACACACTCACATATAACTATATTTTTTGAAAATTGGGTCTCATTGAACAATTCCATTAAGTTAATCTGTAAACTTTGACTTCTCTACAGGGGGAGAAAACTATTCAGGCAGTGCCAGCAGGAGCAAAACCTGCTATCATCACTGCCACAAGACCCATCACAAAAATGATTGTTACACAGCCAAAAGGAATAGGGTCCACGGTCCAGCCAGCCACCAAAATCATCCCAACTAAAATTGTTTATGGTCAACAAGGGAAAACACAGGTACAGTGAGGACCCCTTTCATTGTTTGGAATGTACCCCAAAATTTTAATGGGAAGTAAATAATTTTTCAGTGTGTTTCCTCATTTGTTCCAGGTTTAATATATATCTGTGGGGAATGAGAATTAGTGGCATAATGAGGTGGCCTCGATCCTGATTTCTCAAGCACAGTATCTGCATTTGTTAGTTTTTTGTGAAGGCCTAGAGCAAGCCAAAAGGATTTACTAAGCCTTTTCTGGAGCTGAAACTGTCTGGCCATGGCTCCAGATACTTGTTTACATCTTAGACCATTAGAAATAAACATGCAGAATCTGGACATAGGTCATTCATCAAATCTGAGGTTTTATTGAAGTTTATTTTCTGCTTAATACCTGTTCTGGCTGTCCCTGCAACCTGGTGTAGTTGGTGGGGCTGTATACAGAGAATCTGGCTTATTTCTGGATGCTTTCAGTTTCAGCTTTTTCTCTGGCTGCAATTAGTATTTGGAAGAACTAAGCTTTTATGAGATGTAACATTTTGTGTGTTTTGGTTGTTCAAGACTGTATTTATTTGGATTTGCTTGTCCTTATCAGTGCAGTGCATGTTCCAGCTCACTTGCACAGCTTTTTCTTATCACACTAGTTTTATCTAGTCCTGAAAAATAACTGTTTAGTGGTTTATTGTGTTAAACACCTCAAATTACTGAGTGAGAAGTACATTCTTGTGCATTGCCATTTACTTGGACTTTTTGGTTTAATAATCAAAGTTGCTGAATTTAGAGGTAGACTTTCTAAGTAAAATATTAATATTATGTAGGTGGTGTACATAGATCTGAGTGGTATCCTGTACTCTGATTACTCAGATCTGTTTTCTTGAGTGCTTTCACTATAAACAAAATTTACCTTTCTAATTAGGTCCTCATAAAACCAAAGCCAGTGACATTTCAAGCAACAGTTGTGAGTGAACAAACCAGACAGCTGGTGACTGAAACGTTACAGCAGGCTTCAAGGGTAGCAGAGACAGGAAACTCATCTCTCCCAGAAGTGAAAGAAGAACCACAAACCTACACTGACAGTAGTTCTTCTTCTACAGAGTCTTCCCAGAGCTCTCAAGGTCTGTGTTGGTGTCACATAATGTATGAGTGGACTGTCTTCCAAGCATGCCAGCTTGCTCCAGAGAGCTCCATGTGTCTCCTTTTAGCACAGGTTTCACCCCATGTGTTTGCAGTGAAGCACCCTTGTTCCCATGCTTTTATATTTTTCTTTCTTTTGAGCTACTTACTATGCTTTCATTAATCCTGAAAAGTGGTGATAAAGGTGTCTTGCTGGGCTCCAACTTGCTGTTGTTCCCTTGTTCCCTCTTCCTGCAGAGTCTGCCAGAGATAGGCAGGGTAGCAAGTTATGGAGGTTGTTTTGGCAGTCCATGCTCTGCCACTGCCTTTGCAGATTGTATTGAAGCAATACAATCTCTCTGCTGCATGTCTGAAAGCTACCATGGGACCAGCACAGATCTTGGTCCTTTTATAGATGTGTACATGCATCAGGGCATACATCAGACATGCAATCCTGATGGGAATTCTGCCCTGGCTTCAAGCCATGATACAGATCCAGCTGTGTATAAGAGGAGCAGTAAATAACAGGGCATAAACAAAATCCAACCTGTGTTTGGGAGTGACCATGATATGTATCAGTACAGCAAATTAAAGCAAGTTTCTCAGTGAAACCTTTGTACCTTTTCTATATAATTTTGTAACTGTTGGTCTATATGGCCATCTAAGTAAGTTTTAAAAAAGTTCTGAAGATTCAACCAACTTACCAAAACTTAGGTGCTGTTAGTTCAGAATGCTGAATACATGCTGATCACCTGAACTGCTAAAACCTGGATAAAAAAGTTCAGTCCAAGGCAAATTCAACATACAAAGAAACCCGCTTATTTTCCAAACAAAATCTTTTACAAAAAACTAAGATACAGAACTTTTGGTTTTTTGCTGGAAAACTGTTCATAACATCAACAGTGGTTTACTTCAAGAATCAATTGAAATAGAAACTAAAGTGTTGCAGAATGAGAGTATGCATCCTTGGCAGTGTTCAAAACTAATAAGTAATGAGTAATTTGGTATAATTTTGAATTATCACCCTGCTTTAAAGCAAGGTGTTGGATGAGTGTCTTCCAACACAAAGTACTTGTATGATGACTTGAACTGGCACAGGTTGCCCAGAGAAGCTGTGGCTGCCTCATCCCTGGAAGTGTCCAAGGCCAGGTCAGACATGGCTTGGAGCAACCTGGTCTAGTGAAAGGTCTCCCTGCCTTTGGCAGGGGTTGGAATGAGATGAGCTTTCAGGTTTCTTCCAACCCAGACCATTCCATGATTTTATGACGTGCCTTTGGTTTTTTTGCAAACAGATTCTCAGCCTGTAGTCCATGTGATTGCTTCAAGAAGTCAAGATTGGTCAGAACATGAAATTCCTGTGGACACAAACCCTACAATAATTTACCAGGATGTATCCAGTGAATCTCAGTCAGCTACTTCCACAATAAAAGCTTTGCTGGAACTTCAGCAGACAACAGGTCTGAAAACCCATGAGATTGTTTAGGATAACTTCAGAGATGATTTTTTGCTTAAGCAGGCTTTTGTAATAAGTTTTGTAATTGAAAAGCACTTATCTTGAATCAACTTGATTCTTTGTTTTTTATCCTGCATCAGTTTGTTTGTATCTATAGTGTTCACTATATTTAATTAAACTAGTACATTTATATTGTAGGTTTATTTTATTATGAAGGTTTATATATTAGAGGTTGATTTTATGCTTTGCCTTTCTTAAAGCAGTGAAGGAAAAGTTGGAATCAAAGCCAAGGCAGCCTACCATTGACTTGAGCCAAATGGCTGTTCCAATCCAGATGACTCAAGAAAAGAGGCATTCTCCAGAAAGTCCTTCAATTGCTGTTGTAGAGTCAGAACTAGTGGCTGAATATATCACAACTGGTAAGTGTCTAAGGTTAGTGTGAGGGTGGCTTTGCAGTTGAAGTCTGAGGACTTTATTTTAGCATTTTCTTACAATAGGTTTTACTTTTGTGTTTTTGCTGTAATTTTCTGTAGAGGAAATGAGTATTTTCTTCCACTCCTGTGACCCTATGCAGGGGACGGAGATTGCATCTGCCTTGCTGGGCCATAAGGGAAAATGTTTCTAACTGAAACAGAGTGGCTGCTTCAGGATAGCCCACTCGAGTAGATTTTCCGTTCCTTGGATGTAGAAGACAGACTGTCCCACCACCCTTAAAAGAAAATGTGCAGTAAGAAGCACGTAGAAAATGAAGCTAGAGGAACCATAGCCTAGTTTTTGTATTTACTGAAAGGAGTCAGACATTGAGTTTGTTAAAATCCATTTAGTCCCGAGTTAAAGCCAAGTGTGCATTTAGCATGGTAATGTAGCCCCAGTTTCTTAATTTTCTAGAAAGCCTTGAACTAATAAATATGCCCTTCTAAATATATAAGTTACTTAAATTCATCTCTTTAAATTCTTGACTCCTATTTGGACATCCATTTTGTGTAAGTCCTTTCTCTTGTCTCTCTGATGTTCCCTACAACCCCAGAACACTAACTATGAGGCACTTACATGAAAGGATCAGATTACCTGTTTTCCATTTTCATTTCTTAAACCCATATTGTTGGTCTCTATATTATTTGGAAAATGAAAGCAAAAACATGTTGGAAGTCTACATTGGAAAAGAGAAATAAAACTTAATTGTATTAAACTGTATTACTACATATCTGTAGAGCCATGATTTTAGTGCTAAATGTCTAATCTGATATTTTCATTTTGTTCTCTACCTACTTTCCTTACTCCCATCCCTTGAATGGCCTGAATTTAAGTTGTGTGAAATTTGGGCTGAGGGGATATTATTATTTTTCTTTTAAATAGCACTTACTGTATCTGGCTTCAATTTCAAATATTGGAATCATGCTCCCTTGGATCTCCTTTAGAACAAACTCCAAAGTATAATAAATGGTGTTAAAGTGCTTTCCAATTAGCAGTCAAATATCTTCACTGACACAGATATTGTGCATTGAGCTTCTATTCAAGGTTCCAGTTTTTGATGGGTCTTGCTGTGAAAGTTGATGTACAAGAGGGCCTTTTGCAGGGAGGATGGAAAATTACAGTCTGTGTCTTTGTAGACTTCAGTACTTTTCTTTTTTCTTAGAAACCATACAAAGTGCAATGGCTAAAAATTTCCTGGAGATACGGAGCTACTATTTTAAATATTAGGATTTCTGTAAACATTGATTTGAAATGTGGGAATCTTCCAGAGAAGTGCAGACTCCTATGGGCTGGCAGCAGCATGTTCTGCTGCAGCACTAAACTGGTTATTTTGCACTTAGATTTTTGTCCCTTCCCCCAGTTTCTCTGAACATTGCCAAGAAATGCAAGTAACTGAGTTTCTTTTTGGTTTGAGTCGTGATTCTCTGAATTTATCAGTAACCCACATAGCTATATTTTCTGCTAAAAATTCTGTAGTAAGATTGTAAAGAATCTATTGTCTGCTGTGAAATGTCCTGCATGTGCCTAGACCAAAGGATTTGGGAGCTGGGATTCAGAGTGTGCTTCCTCATGAGATGAAGGGAGCAATTCACACATCTTAGTGTCACCATTTTTTGTCTGTCTGCAGACTCAGGAAGACAACACTGTATTGGTTCACATTCGGAAGAATATCTACACAACCATATAGGTTAGAAACTTTATTTCTAAATTAAGTTTTCAATTGTGTAGGAATTGTTGGGAGAAATCCAGGATAAATCTGGCATAGCATGCAGGCCAGTATTGATGTAAACAAACTTTCTTGGAGTGAGAAAGTAAAATTATCATATTAATTCAAAATTTGACCTTTCTTTAAAACAGAAAGAAAACATTTCAAGAAGGTCACTAGAAACTTTTTAATTTTAAGTTATGTTACAACTGAGTTTAAACTTTGCTTGTTCTCCTTCAGTGATTAAATACTTTGTAACTAAGAAATTAGGTTACACAAATATTTGCATGTTAGTATAGACAGACATAAAGAGATTTAGATTCATATCTTATCTATGACTGGAATATTGAATTTTTTGGTTTGGTTTTTTTTCCCTCAGCAGCACATGATTTTTCTATCAATCCACTGTTTAATTAAAGGCCTATCACTATAGCTCTGTATCTCAAGCTAGATCTGTTCTCAAAAGTGACAGACCCGTAACAAGGTCTATATTTTTTTATCTATCATTTCTGATCAGCCTCATTTGCTTTAATAAAACCCAAACATTTTCTAATCTATCTTATTTTGCTAATCTAATCTTGCTAATCTTCCAAATTTAGTTTCTGCTCTGGGGAGTATTATGTGCAGTTCATCAGTGGTAGAAACCTGGTGAGCAAGGCTTGCTGTTCTTAATTGCAGTCAGTTGCAGCTGTGCTTTTAACAGTGTAAAAACCACATAATAACTTGTGTTCTACAACAATATTCTAGTGCTGTATAAAGAACCCAGCTGAACATTAAGTATAAACTCTGCTTGCAAAATTGATGTATTGGGAAAGGGTGGCCAGAGGAGGTTTGGACCAAGTGTAGTTAGGAAACAGACAAAAGCAAAACCTCAGAGTTGCTACTTTAAGAGGTTTCTCAGAATAGATCATGAAGGTTGACACTAGCACACAGTGAAAGACATTTTCCATGCTTAGATCTTTTTCACTCATGTATGCTTTCAGTTGAAGCTTAACTGCAAAGCAGACAGTTGAAGTTCCTGCAGTTAGTTCTGGAGAAGTGCCACTGACCTCTTTACTTGCAGTCAGTCATCGGTCCCAGCCCCACCAGTCATCTCAGCCCCAGAGGACTCTGGTGCAGCACGTGGCTCAGTCCCAGACAGCAACGCAGACTTCTGTTGTGGTGAAATCTATTCCTGCATCCTCCACTGGCGCCATTACCCATATCATGCAGCAGGTTGGATCCTTTCTTTTCCCAGAAGGCTATAAACAGCAATAGGTCATGTAAATTGCATAGGACCAGGGCTTAGTCTGAATGTATGTATCATGGTGCTGCCACCTAAGATGTTCAGCATACAGGAAAAGAAATTCTTTTAATATCACTTCAGTAGCCAAAGGAGAGGAGGTTTAGATTAAATATTAGAAATAAATTCTTTTCTAGGGTTAGTGAGGCGCTGGCATGGGCTGCTTAGGGAAGTTGTGGATGTGGCATCCCTGGAAGTGTTCAGGGCCAGGTTGGGCAGGACTTGGAGCAACCTGGTCTAGTGGAAGGTGTCCCTGCCCATGGGCAGGGATGTTGGACTAGATGGTCATTGAAGTCTTATCCAAGCCAAACCATTCTGTGCTTGTGTTTTCATGGTGAGGGTGGTTGCAGAATTGCAGTGGCCTGACCTCATTAGGTTATATTGGTTGTAGTGCAGGGGGAAGAGGGCTGAAATGGAATCTGGTCAGTACATAGAGCACACATAGCTTTTCCATTTGATGTCTTTAGTTTGTGAACAGGGAAAGTTCTCTGAATCAAAAATCAGACCATATTTAGATCAGGACTGTGGGGATTCCAAACTATTCAAACGAGAACTGCAGCTTGTGGTGAAGTCTTGCTGAAGCCACTTGAATGAATTTGATCAGGACTTCCTCAACTCTGCAGTGCTTTAACTTGTGGCAGCTTCAGCTGCAGTCCAGAACAGTTCTGCATTAGAGTTATAAACTCATGCCAGGTAGTATATTTTTACAAGTGCATTAGACTGTTTGATCTTGCTAACATCATTTTTCAGTGCATTTATACATTTTGGCTTACAAAGCGTAGGTTGCTCGTTCCCTCAGAAAGACATGTTTGTGTAATGCCCAGGAACAATTGCAATGCAATTTTGAGAAAGGCAGAAGAGAAGATCTCTGTTAAAATAGGACAGCCTGTAGTTAAATGTGGCCCTGCAGAAGAAACTTTAGAGAAGATGATTAGGCTTTCAAGAGGCAGAATAAAAAATTATTGTGCAGAGAGATTCTGGCTTGAAGGAGGAGCTACTGGCTCAGCCTCCTGCTACTCCCTGCTGCTTCATATCCAACTGCCAGGCAACCTTAGGGAGCTTTGAGCCTCAGTCTGACACAAGCGAGATCACTGTAATCCCTTGGAGGGTTAGTTGTGAAGTTGTTCTCACATAGAGACGTACCACAGTTTAACATGATAATAATAGATCTTGATTGCTTATATATTGTGAAATACCTGTGTAAGTGTATCTTTTTATACATGCATTGGGAGTCTGTAATGGTAAAAAAAGTTGAAGTAGTCAATTTGAAACATTAAAAATTATTTCTATAAAAATTATTCTATAAAATTTCTATTAAAATTATTTCTATTATTTCTATTTCTGTTCTTATATTTCTCTTTACTAACTTGCTCTAAATTCTTCTTCTTAAGGCCTTAAGCAGTCACACTGCATTTACCAAACACAGTGAACAACTTGGAACTGAGGAGGGAGAAGTGGAAGAGATGGACACCTTAGATCCTCAGACTGGCCTGTTTTACAGATCTGCCCTGACACAATCGCAGGCACAAAAGCAGCAAAAACTGAGTCAGCCGCAGCTGGAACAGACTCAACTGCAAGTGAAAACTCTGCAGTGTTTCCAGACTAAGCAGAAGCAGACAATCCACCTGCAGGCTGATCAAATCCAGCACAAACTCCCACAAATGCCCCAACTTTCCATAAGGCATCAAAAGCTAACCCCCCTGCAGCAAGAGCAAGCACAGACCAAACCAGATGCACAGCACCCCCCACATCATATGATGGCCAAAGAAAGGCAACTCCCTACCTTAGTGGCACAGCCACAGCAAACTGTAGTACAGGTGCTTGCAGTAAAAACCACGCAGCAGCTGCCCAAACTGCAACAGGCACCAACGGCACAAAAAATCTACGTGCAACCCCAGCCCCCCCAGAGTCAAATGCAGCTACCTGCCTCTTCAGAGAAACAGCCAGCAAGCCAGGTAACGGAATATTGATAGCATGCAAAATACACGTCGCTGTTCAAGGAAAAAAAAATATAAAACACCGACCCTATCGCTGTAGCAGTGTTTTGTCCTGGCAAGAGAGAATCCCTCATTCCGCTGGTAGTAATTAGCCCAGCAGAAGGTTGACACTAGGAGAGAGAAGCACATGTTATAAGGGAAAAGTCCATAGAGCTCACAAACTTATTTTGTTGGACAGTTTTTCTTAATTTCAGCCACCACTGGTGCATGGAATTTGTCCCTAGTTATTTTCTTTTAATTTTTAGATAATGACACATTCGTAATTTCTGTTCCCGTAGCACTTTTTATTTCTGTAGAAATAAAGGTGAATACACTGCAGTCTCCTAAGGCTCTCCATTGTTCCTCTTCCTTTGTAGTTTACATCTTTCTGAACTTATATGGCTTTCATGTACAGTAGTATTTTGATTTTCCTTGGGAGGGAAAAAGGCAGAGACTGAGGAACATGGGAAAAAATGTATTTTGACTAACTCCAGAAAAGTACAATTTTTTTGGCCCTTTCAGGAATAGATGTGAAAACTAGCAAACATACCAGGGGGCTGTAAATCCCAAAGGAAAATTACGCTGCTGTGGTATTATACTGCTACAATCCTTATCCTAGCAGCCTAAAAAGCTGCTTTTCCCCAGGCTTCAATTAACTGTTGCCCTATCATTGCTAATTCCTTTGTTAAAACACTGAGTTTCAATTGTCTTCCTAATAGCAAGTATGTTGTTTGTGCCATTCTTTCCTTGGAAATATTGATGAGGATTTCAATAAAAAAATATATTAACTGTAATATGCACAACAAAAATTTGATTTTCAGGTGCAACATCTAAGTGTAATGCAAGGATCCACTGTTACAGAGCTAACTTTAGAGGGGCACGAGCTTCCTTTTGTTTCAAAGGTAGCAGGTGGCAGTTCTGTGCCCAAACTGGCATTGCTGGTTACCAGCCTATTTCCCATGCAGGCATCCACGGAGACATCAGTAGCAGATATATTGAGAGTGTCTATGGTGGAAGCTCAGATTGATGCAAACATAGAGCACACGGTAGTGGATCCCCCAAACAAGGCCACGTCCACTAGTGCAGCTGCTAGTGAAGCAGAGTCGTCACCTTGTACCCAGGGCCCGAGGGTGGCTGCAGTAGGGATGACGGCACCTTCCATCCCCCAGCAACAGACACATACAGAATCCAGCTCAAGTCCTCCTGCTGTTGGTCCTACTTTAACAGAGAGGAAGCTCGAGGCACGAGGAATACCTACAACAAACCAGTTTATACACATTCAGAATATATCACAAAAGAAAGCTGAAGAGAGCTCTTCAGAAATTGTTGTCCAGGTAAGAGAAGACTGAGCAAATAAGGCAAAGATTGAGCACAGCAAACACGTGTCTGATGCAATGATAGTCACTGAATGATGTTTGAGTACTCCTGGGTTTATTCCCCAGGTTTTGGTTCTGTTTCTACTCTTAGCTTGTAATCATTGCAACATTGAAGTGTAATTCTTCTTAATTGGGCTCAGGTTTCTCTAGTACTGTGCATCATTTACTGTCCTCAGTGTCTTCCTTCTTCTAAGAAAACAACCAAACTCATCCCATTTTACAAAGTACTTTTATTTGCAATGCTTAAAACTGCTTCAACACTTAGTATGGAGTTATGTTCTAGAATCCTTTATACTCTCTATTGAAGTTGCTTCTGAGTGTAAAATTAATGACATTGTAGGGTTTGCTTACTGGAAAGGTTCAGCAAATAAGGTCTGAAATCAGAAGAAAACTTTTTAACTTCACTTAGGGTAAGACCACTTCTGAGATAAAATTACTATTGATCTTTAGCCTAAATGCTTTGAATCATATTCTAACTGCTATGCTTGATATTTTCATTGATTCTGCTGCCTTAAATATGATGGTTTATGTAATAAGTTGTCACAATGTCAACTGAGGAGGGTATATAAGTCTTCCAAGTGGTGCAATATGAATTTTTGTAGACAAGTTGGTATGGCATATGTTCACACAAATAGTAGTGTGGATTGAAATTGTTTTAATATGTATCATGCTTGTGTTACAGTGAAAATACTTCTGATGTGGGAAACAATTTGTGTGCAATGATTTCAAATTTTTCATGATACTTTGTGAAATCTTTACTGGGACTAACTTCTCTTTTGTAGTAATTACCAGTTCTGTATTCATTTTTAGTCCTCTTTATATATACAAAGATAGATTTCTGTTTTACTTCAAACCTGTATCTTTTGAGAATCGGTGCTATTTATCATTGTGGCATGCTATGAGCTGTTTCAAAAGTCAAATAATGCCCAGAATTTCAGTTGTATAAAGTCACAGATTTAGCTTTTCAACTTATGAAAGTACAAGTAAAAATAAATAACATAATAACCATAATAACAAAAATCTTAGAAATAAATAGCAACTGTGTTTCCTCAGCCTCTGAGCTGCAGCTCTGAGCAGGGCCAGAGCTTGAACTCTGTCTACACAAGAAACATAATCCTCCTGGAGTGCTTGGGCAATGCACTGCCTGGTGGGATTCTTGGTGTTGTCCCATGCAGGGCCAGGAGTTGGACTCGATGGTCCTTGTGCGTCATTTTAACTCAGGTCATTCTTTTATCACCATGTCCTGTCTAAAGAAGATCAGGCTGAAGAAAATATTATCTCTGTTTTGGGTTTGCAGAATGGTGGATGATGGGCATTGGTTATGCTGTCACAGACCTTTAGGGAAGATCAAAGGCCTGGAGAGCAAGATTATTCAAATTTTACCTTTCAAAACCCAATCCAGTGAAAGGTTGCTTTGAAGCCTCAGTTAGAGAAAATTGCCCTTGGAAACCAAATAATCCCTTTTCCACAAATCTGTGCTTGCACAGATGCCTTTACATTCAATATTGTTCATTAAACTTAAATATTTTCTTTCTTTCAGACTATCCCTCACTATCCCATCCCTTGTCACTCCAGCTCCAATGTGGTGGTGGAACCCAGCGGGCTCCTGGAGCTCAACAACTTCACCAGTCAGCGCCTCGATGATGAGGAGACAGCAATGGAGCAAGATGTGGACAGCAGCACTGAGGATGGCACTGAGCCCAGCCCCTCTCAAAGTTCTCTTGAGCAATCCTAAGGAATAGAGACACTGGAGTGTACTTTAAAATATCTTGGGATTTTTGAGCATCCAAGATGCCCTTCTATTGTGATATCTTAGAGCACTTTGCCTATTAGAATTGTTCATTGGACTCTTGAAGCATCAGTAGGTTTTAACAAGACAGTATTGCAAAAGCTGAATCTTAAAAAATGTTTTGGGAAAAAAAAAAAAGAAGAGAAGATGTAGGTACCAAGATTTAGTAAACCTGTGACAGTGGAATGTACTCCTGTTCAGAAACAAATCTGTAATGAATCCTACAGCTTGTGCTATTGAAGCCCTTGCCCAGATACTGAAACAGCTTTAAGTGAAAAGGGATCATTATTTTGCTGTGTCTTTTTAGTTGTTGAATAAAACACCATTAAAAAAAATATTTAATAAATATTTTTATTTTCAAATAGCATGTGAGAGAAAAAATGTCTCTGACAGTGCTGGAAAAGCCCCAGGAATTTTGGAATTGGTTGGCTTTCTTGCACTCATGCTCACTTCAAAAATTTTTTCAGAAGCTTAAAATATTTTTTTTTAATTCTTGTTGATGAATGTTTGGAAATAAACAAAACTGCTAACTGGTAGCAAAGTGGATTTGCTAGTGGAATTTTGTTTTCATGCTTTACAATAAGTACGGTAATAGTAGATGAGGCATTTCTTTCTGCCATAAGCATACAAAATGCTCATCTACTCTAGTTAACCTTTGATTATTTATTTAAATATGAAATTTAAAGTGAGACAAGTTGTTGAAAAAAGTTCCTGTGAAACAGGCAGTTGTATTAATTCTAGTACAAACCAGGGAGAAGGAGGTGCATTTTGCTATAATCAGTTTTTCAAAATTGGGGATAAATAGTTCAACATCTTTCCAAGTTGAACTTGAGAATTTAGAAGTGAGCCAAGACTTCTAAAAATCTATATTTTACTCTTACATGCTGTTTTTAAAATTGACCATTTGGGGAGTTTAAAAGCTTAAATGGGTGTACAATGGTGGGTTTCCAAAATTAGCCTTATGCCTTGGCTTGTTGAAGCAATACATTGGGGTTTTGTGGTAGTTACAAGTCACAGAGAGCGGTTTGGGTTCAGATGGGACAAGAGAACCAGTTTTAATACATTCTGGTAATTGAGACAATACTTTTTTTTGTTTTCAAAATGTATATAAAACCATGTTTTTAACTGTTTTGTATAGATTTCATTATAAATAACTAAGCATTTTATGACTTTGACATCATTTAATTGTATATAAATGTATAAGCCTAACTGCCCACGTTTTGGTGCTCAAGTACTGTAAGTAGATTTCATCCAAAATCTAATACAGCTTTTTGCGTCAGTCTTTTCTTTTTAAATTGTCGTTTTACTGTTGATATTGTTGTTAAGGTTGAATTCCAGTTGGAGTAACTCAAACTGAAAAATACAGACCCTAAAAACCATTATCTAACCTGTTCTGAATCCACCTATGTTAGAACTTGCAGTAACCCCTAGAGGGGGCTCTTGGTTTTCTCTAACGTCAGTTGTCTTATAAACTAAGTTATTGGGATCTTCATATACTTCTTTTTTCCTTCTGTCTTCTTTTTCCATCAATGTTAGTTCTGAAATAGTGTAGAATATAATTGTAGAGAAATGTCCTGATAAATTTGACATGCGAATACTGGAATAGCGGGTTATGAAACTAATGATTTTTGTGTTACCTTTGTATTGAAATAAGTTTGGATTCTGATGTCCATAGTGCTCAGGATGGAGGACAATAATATGTTTAAATGAAATATTCCACATTCCTTTTTTTAGTTAAGTAATAACCCTGCCAGTCATTGTAGGTAGCTAAGGTTTTGATAACTATTCAGGAGATTTTAATGAAACCACAGCAATCAACAAAAGTGAAGAAGTGATGCTCTAAGTTGTGAAAGTTCCCTATTGCTACAGGATAACAAAAAGAGGCTTAATACTCTGATGTTATTGGCAGTGGACAGTCTGTGGTGCTTTGCATAAGTCAGCATAAGGAATGGTCTGTTTTTCCATACCCCATTGTGAAGGGTCCAAAGCAGGTGACACACACAGTTCTTCGAGCTTGTATCAAATTTTCATTGTCACCTGGGCTCGTGCAGTGCTTTGAGTGTCCATGGTATATGTAGTACTGGAAGGCCATGAGAATATAAGAGAGAGCAAGACTTGTCTTAAACACTTACGACTAGGAACATTGCCCTAAGTTTCAGTTTTAGGTGAAGGTATATGCTCTTCCTAGCCAAAAACAGATACCAAGAAATGCACCTAGTGGACTCACTATATGTGGAGTTCTGATCCAGTTTATTCTGATGTTTTATGTAAGACTTTTGTTTGCCTCTTTAGTGATGACTGGAGCAAAGGAATGAACAACTACAGTGGACTATTTGACAGTTTCTTTGAAGACAGCAAAATGTTTAACATCTTAAAGCTTTTCATGTTTCTATGAGAAGGGATTGATTTAAGGTTGCTGTAAGGTTGATGTAAGGTTAAAGCACATAGTGGGGATATCTAGGGGTGGTGTGAGAAATTTAGAAGGAAGAAATTTGGTAATCAGTGTGCTCATTCCTGACATTCTTCTCTTGCTGCTTTCCCAAATTTCAACTTGTTTTTCTTCAGATTCTTTTATTGAATTAGTATATTTCAGCACTTCATCATATGAATACCTTTACAAATAAGAAATAGACAAGATGAGCTAAAATGTAGGGTAGATACATAGGGTTTTTTTAACATTATATTTTATAATGACAGTAAGATCAGGTGCTTGGAGCATTTGGCCTTCTCTCCTTTGCATGAACTCCAGGCATCACTGCCTGCTCTTTGGTCCTGCCTGCCAGATATGCAGCTTTTTTCCCACCTGCCCTTGGGATACTTCATCCCCCTGCAGCCACGTATCCACTTCTCACAGCCCTATCAATATCATCAAACTGCTAAAAATAAAACATCAGTATGTAAAACAATATTTGCATATCCCATGTCCCTCATAAGCTGCATCTTCATTCCTGAAATTAATTTGATGTCCTTTCTTGGAATGGAAGAAGGAGTAGGTATGATGGTGATAATTTTTGGTTCTGGGAATTAGCAGGCAATAGTTTGTATCTTATCAGAAAACTGTGGATAAATTGTAGAGCAAGTGAAATTGCATTAATGAGTTGCTTTGAATTCAGCAGTTAAATGAATGTGCTCTAGTGCTGCAGCAATACACATGAATTTTCAAAAAAGGATGCTGAAAAAGTGAACTAAAGTTAGAGGAAATACTGAAACTAGGGGGAATTTATATGGCCTTTAAAAATGCAGGGAATCACAGAAGATGTATCTTTTCTGGAAAGGTTAAACCATTGTGGTGACTGTATTTTCAGTCTCAGTATTTCTTCGATTTACAAAACAAAGCTCTGAGCTTTTGAAATTTCAGGGCAAAATAGAAGAAGGGCCCTTTGAACAGCATAAATGATTAAATCAATGGGATTTAAAAAAAAATAAACCAAACCAACAAACAAACAAAACCACCTCTCTAAAACCTTCTGAAAAAATCAAAAATTTTGAATTAAGACTATATGCTTTTGTTTCTAATGCAGAAATAGTTCCTGAAGTCTAATGATTTCACAGGTGAATGTGATTGTGCATCCCCACAAAGGCAGATGATTTCAGCTTGGCAACATTGAATCCAGAGAAAACTGATCATAATTTAGAATAATGAACTAGAAAAAATACTGCTTTGGGGTTTGCCTGTATTGGAAAAAAGTATGTTTAGCACCTGTGTGTCTATGGCTGACTCCTTTCCCTAAGTTTTGAAGTAAACCATGAAGAATGTTTACATGTGCATGGTTTCCATCAAAACTGTGGGACTGAGTTTTTTCCCCTACTCAAAGTCTGTCCTGAGAATCTTTGAATCTGTTTTCTTCCAGCAGAAAAGAAACCCTTACCTTATGATAAATTTAGAGCTCAACATAGTTTATCAAAGAGAAAGTTAGGGAAGAGGTACCTTCAGGTGTATTTGTGGGTTCCTTTGCAAGAAGAAATTGTTGTTGGGGCATTTCAGTCTGGTACAGAGGCAGAGTATCATCATCAAATGATTTGGATTGGAATGGAACTTAGAACTCATCCAGTTCAACCCTCCATCCATGGGCAGAGACACCTTCCACTAGGTTGCTCCAAGTCCTGTCCAGCTTAGCCTTGAACACTTCCAGGGATGGAGCAGCCACAGCTTCTCTGGGCAACCTGTGCTAGGACCTTGATACTGACAGGAAAAAAAAAAAGCTTGAAAAAAAAAAAAATCAGTCTTAAGATTGAGGACAATTAACTGGGATTGACAAGGGCTATAGTATTCTCTATCATTTGCAGTCTTTTCTCTGAAATTAGCACAGATGGTGCAGTTTGAAATCTACTGCTCTTGTATCTCCAATACCGGCAATTGAAATTTCCAATAGTGTCCTAAGGATTTAAACTGAAAAAAAAAAAAAAGATAAGTTGATGGTACCTTGAGGCATGTAGAGCTAGGACTGGCATGCAGAGATAGTTCGTCATCTTGGATGGGTTTGGGGTTAGGTGTTTTCACTGTACTTTGGTGAAAAGTTGCTGAAGTGTTAAAATAGGAAAATCAGTACCTGGGAACTTGCTCATTAAAGCTCGAGAAAAGGGCCTTTGAATTATTTGGTGCAGAAAAGATATTAAGAAGTTTTCAAGCACTGTGGACTGGAGTATTCAAATGGTCTTATATAATTTTTGAAGCTCAGGACTGCCCCCACAACAATGGATTGGAACAGGATGATTTATAAGGTCCTTTCCAGCTCAAACCATTCTGTGATTTTGTCATGATTTTGTCATAACTGTTAGAGATGTCCAACACTCCAGACCTGGTCCTACTTAAAACTTCCTATGATTTTCAATCTATCTTTGGGGTCTAAAAAAAAAAAAAAAAAAAAAAAAAAGGTTTCAAGGTTTTTGTATTTTGGTTTGGTTTATTTATTTGGTGGGGTTTTTTTGGTTGGTTGGTGGTTGGTTTTTTGGTTGGGGTTTTTTTAGGTTTCTTGGTGTTTTCATGAGCTTTCCAGCTCAGCAAGGATTTTAAAAGTTTTGAAATTTTCTGTGACCCTGGTGATCCTGTTTCCTGTAGCCATTATTAAGTGGATTTAGAAAAGCTATTCTTGTCACCCAACTGGGAGTGAATGATTAGGACCGTGGGCTTTTTGGGCTATTAATGAACCCTTCAGAAGTGGTAGGCATATCAGCCAGTCTCTTATGGACTACAGATGGGTTTTAGACTCCATAAAATGGTTTGGCTTGGAAGGAAGGAGCCAAAATTATCTAATTCTGTCACTTGAATGCCAAACCTAGAATCCTTTTTGATGGCACTTTTACTAAAACTTTGATAATCCTTACTTCTAAGAGCCTCATTAGAGCAAACATTGTTCAGAAATTGTCTTCTATGGTAAAAAAAAAAAAATCATCTTGTCACAGCTCTTAGCCAAAACTGTCCCAGAGGATTATAGATCTCCAGAACTTTGTGACTTCCTTCATGTCAGGCTCTACCAGGAGCCAGCTAAAGGCTCTGGAAGTCTCTTTGCACAGGTTTTTTACTGTTAAGGATGCTGCCTGAGCCCTGCATACAACAAAGAGCTGGGAACAGTTCTTTGTGCCCACACATCACTGAGGTTGGCAGGAAGCTCTGGAGATTATCTGGTTCAACCCTCTTGCTGAAAGCAGGGTCAGGCTGCTCAGGACCATGTCCTGTGGGGTTTTTGGAAACCTAGCAGGATGGAAACTCAACAACCTTTTCCAGTGACCACCTGTGCATTGTTTTTTTCTTCTTTCCTAGTGTGTGCTGTGTTTTCTGGTTTTTCTCTTGGTTTGTTTTGGATGTGAAATAAAAATACTATATTGAGAAGAGGTTCACAACAGCATGAGAACAAACCACAGGGAAGAAGCACAAATTTAGTGAGAACAAAGTGTTGTAGCTGCAGTGTTCCCAGAAACAGGGATATTTGTTTTTCCCTCCAGAATTCAACTTGTTCAATTCTCCCTGCAGCCACTTCAGGACTGCAGAGACACAATTTACTAACAAACGTCATCAAATGTCACTTTGTAGTATTTCTTAATATTAAAAAGGTGTCCAGAGAAATATTTGAATACCTGGAAATGTTTTCTACCTGCATCAATCTACAGGTGGATGCAATACCTGTTACTGGGCATTGTGCAGCCTTGGCTTTTGCATGAAAATATATAACATAGATCTATACGAGACCACAGCACAGTTGTAGCTCTTGAATTACATCTTTTGTTCAAATATACCGTGTGAATGTGACACATCCAAGCCCAGAATTACTAATTCGAGAACTGGAGGGCTGCCTTCCCTGTGAAGCAGGGATTTTGGTCAGGGTGGAGCCTTGCTAGAGCCATTCCTTGAAGATGCTCATACTCACTTGGTTGCAGATTG